TTAACTTGTGCCTCCATGGTACCTTAGTTGGATATTGGCCCCATCCAAATTAGACAGAGGGTGCTAAGCTTTCGAATGACGACTTTTGGAATCTTTAACCGCTGTCTAATAACATATGTTGGAATCGAGGTATAGCTTTATGCAGTGTGACCAATTATACAGCCTCTGTGCACGTAACGTGACGTTCCACAAGTACTAGTATGGGATAGAAACTCTACGAAAGACGCCACTGTTTCTGTGACTTGTCTAAATTAGAATGTGGGGCCAAAGATAAACAATTTCGGGCCATCCTAAGCATCGATAGTCTCTCGTATCTGCAGGCAGGATTCGATTCCAAGTCAGCTTTTAGTATGCCGTTGAGTCTCCGCAGTTACATCCAGTTTCTCGCCTGCGAGCGAATCGTACGAGGTGAGATAGCTAGCCAATACTGAGTGGCAGAATGCTAGAAACATGTCTGAGACATGTCCCGCCCCGAGTCCACCGAACAAGCAAAGGTATGTGATGATTGGATGCCACTGATGTGGACTGGAATAGACGACAAAAGGATCACGAGTCAGGCATAGACGGCGTTGTTGGGAAACGCTCGAAGAGGCAGACCTTGACCGCAGCAGTATCATAATTAAGGGTGCATCAGAGCACACTAATGACTATAAATACATCGTTTGGGCCCGCCCATCGAACAATAGTAACCCAAATCCCTATCATCAATCTTCTCTCAATTCAGTACGATCACTGATCATCCAGCACGATGCAACTTCTCTCAGTCTTTATCGGTGCTCTCGCCCTGAGCACTGGAGTCCTTTCCCAAAGCTGGCATGGATGTGCTCCATACTACGAGGTGAGTGAGCCCTCTACATACTTTTATTTGACACAAGGCACCTACTGACCTTGTGATTCAGTGTCATAGCAATCAGGATTGCCGTCAGCAGTCAGACTGCAAGGAGCTAGCGAATGGTGTAAGCAGCAATCAGCACTATGTATCTTCGAGACATATAAGGCATGGACTAACCAGGTTTAATTACAAGAATCTTGACAAGATTCATTGCGGTCAAGCAAACCATCCTGTCGCTTGTTGGGCGGTGAGAATATCCTTCCAATACAAATACTTAACTCATGAGGCTGACATGTTAACCTATCGATAGTATACGAGCTGATGACGAGGGATACAAATCGAATACATTCATGTTCAGTGATTAGGACATGGAGCAACCCGAACACCCGGGTGGTTGAACTTGAGAAGAAAGGCGAAAAAGGAAATCGATGTATCTTATGCTCTGTGGTTGTCTAGCGTCTTCATCTGTGGCTTTTTGATTTCAACGACAAGATTGAACTTTTCATGGGTGCTTACGATGCCATATGTGTTGCCTGTCAAAATATCATGCTTTGCCACAAAAACAATGTCTTGATCGCATGGCAGGTCTGGTTTCTGTACTCACAGGATGAAGTAGAGGCGCTGGATCACGTATATACGTGTGGCAGGGATCCAATGTACTCGGAGAGATTTGCAAACACTTTTAACTGTACCTCGAGGATACTACTTCTATCCAGACACCAATAGTAAGATGATATGTATGGACTAAATGCGCAGAAAAACTAACTATATCGTGTAAGCTTGTGTTCGCGCATGTAAGGGTACGTCGTGTCTTCTATCCTGTAGAAGGTAAATTGTGGGACCTTAGAAAGAGCTGCCTGAACTACAAGGTAACTAAGAGTATTGACTAAGGAGTCTGATATACAAGGCAATCTCTTGAATGATAGATTAATTAGACTGCTACATCAATATATCAAACCATAAGATGGACATTCTGTGATGTGAGCTGGATGCACTGATTTGAAGCACTTTTTAAGGAATGGCTGTTTTCAGGTTTTGACGTGATAGTTTGTATGTTCGAGTAAAACAAGTTAGATCAGAACTAGATCCCGTATTCATGCCTAGACTTTGACGCAGACGCTTATGTAGTGGGCTTTACTGTGTAGGGTCTACCATCTAGAGATCTATATCTAGGTAGCATTCTGCCGCGAGGCCCTGTTAGATCACTAGAGAAGTCACTATGATGGACCTACCAGGAAGAAGCATGCCATGCTAAGTGTACTGTCCAGTGACTGGGCAGCCTCTCTGTTGATGGCCATGTTTGAGCCACCGGTCCGTGGCTTACACCATACACGAGCTGCAACTAGAAGCTAGAGCCTGTGGTGAGGAAGGATGTGAGAGTTAAACAGATTTCCTCCTATACCGGATCGAAAATTGATTGGTGGTTGTTCTTTGCTTGATGTCTTTTCGAGTTCCTTAACGCTAGCCCCACGGCTTTCCAGATGCGACAAAGTGTGACCTGTTGTACGTACCACGAGCATAAGGCCTTGAGACAGGTCAACATGATGTCTCATTTGATAGGCATTAAGGCTAGTAAAAGGCTCAGCGCGATTGAGACTATATGACCAATCGGATATCCTTTCGCCTCGTACATACAGGACTTGACTTGTCGCAGAGGCACAAGGTCTCCTTTGGATTGAAATTTAGTCGATATCACATTCCCCCTGTGGGGAGGAGGTCACTGTACTTGGTGCTATGACAATATGCTCATCAGTGGTCAGAAGCGACGGAATACGACTGATTGATGTTCCAGAGAGTGGAAAACGTAGGCGCGCATTGCTAAATGTCTATCCCATTTATCCTTATACCTATTAAAAATCTTTGAGTTTAGTCTACTCTTGTTTCTCTTTGAATCTTTTTATCCCCCAGCGTGACCCCGATATTTTTGACAACCAACCATGCAGGTAGCAGCGAAATAGCCCACAGCCCGAAGTTCAGGTAAACACTCCCGACCGAAGCCATGATTGTTACAGCGTTAAGACCATACTAGCATTAATTATTAGAATATGCGTCTGAAAAAGCAATGAGGGCATGGTTACTCACCGAAACCGCCTGAGCCGCAGACTCAGTTCCCCGAAGTAAGCCGGAGATACGAATAACCTCCTCTTCGTCGTCGGCAAGATTGCCAATAAGGAAATATCTGATCGGTCATCAGCATGGGTCCAGTCACACAAGATCTCATATCCACTTACAAGAACATATAGTTCAACTGGAATCCCACAATCCAGAACAAGTACAGTGCGAACCCGCGGCCGAAACCGGCATCTGCCCAATCGTACGACGGCTGGGTCTTGTTAAACTCTGTAACGATGATGGTACCCCAAATCCACCATGCACCTTGCAACGTGAGAATAGTCACGAAGGCACTCCTGGTTCGAGTTTTGAGTGAAATCCTCTTGGTGTCCAAAAACGCGCCCAGCAAGTTGCCGAGGATCAGTGCTATAATACCTCCGAGGAATGACCCCAATGCACGCGCCCGGACCGAGAACCACAGTGAAAGGTAGGTGAACATCACGGCCTCGGTAAAGACTGCTTGACTGATCAGTGGAACGATGAGAAGGAAGTTCCGAGTGAAGAATAGCTTTGCTGTCTCTTTGATCTCGTGAAGCGGACTATTTGCGATGCGAAGTTTCACAGGAACTCCATCCGTGCGCTGCACTTGAGACGGTGAGTTCAGCAGCAGTCCAGCAAATGGGCCAAGCGCCTGTAAGACGATAAACACGATGAGCACTGAGTAAGAGACACTACCAGCCGTGTCGCGATTGGAGTTGATGCCCAAATTAATCGCACCACCAAGAATCTGACCACCCACGCGAAAGCTCAACCAGAAGCCGAGGAAGCGCCCCTGGTTGTGTGGTTCTGGATAGGAGATCGCAATGGCAGCCTCAGCCATCCAGAAAATACCGGCAGACAGGCCACAAAGAGCGGCACCAAAGAGAACGAACCATTCGGTGCCAAATCGATTGTTGGTGTAGAGACCTGCGGCATAGGGGGCGTACCCCATCGTGCCGACAATGAGCGTCCATTTGATCCCGATGTAGCGGACAACTACACTTCCAAAGAAACATGAAAGCACCATGAGGCAAAATGTCAGTGCATTTGCTGCGTTGACGAGATACTATGGTCATGGAGTCAACACTTCCTGCCACAGTAGAAGGCACGTTGGAGATTACCGACCGGCTTTTCCAAACCTCCTCCGCCGACCGAGTTCATGGCCCCCCAGATTCCAGGCGCGAGGAAGTTACACAATCCCAAAATCATAGCATTGTAGAACGTTGAGCGGTACCATTTCACTGCTGCTGTTAGCATTGCCCATTGGGGTTTGGAGCAGTCAGCTGACCTGGATGCTTCTGTGTTGACGGTAGAGGATTGTTCCCAATCTCTTCATCAGTCGATTGGATATCTGTTTTTTCTTGGGCCATTTTGAAAGCAGTAACGTAGGTACCATCCGATGTATGGTTTTGGATATTCGACGTCCGAGAACGAAAGACATTCTGAAGCCATGGTGGGCATTTATGTACAAGTTACAGCTCCCAAGCTCTCGTCTAGATGACAATCTAAGCTTATCGCGCAAGTACTAGCAGATTAGCAGTCGTGGACCCTTGTCTAGCCCAATAGCCAAGGCAGGTTCTGAGAGTAAAATGACATTTTATTGCGCTAAACGTGTAGGCTTTCCACCATCAATGCCGTAGCGGCTTTCGCGATGTTGCAGTTGGAGTGTTCGATTACGTGCTCGCACGGCATTTTAGTACAAATTGTGTACATTACTTCAGAACAGGGATGCCAATGTTCGTACGAACTTTGCTTTTCAAACTGAAAATTACCACAGTTGTTTTCATTCAGGGCATGTAGAACATGCTCCACAAACTTTTTTTTTCATTTTTTGTCAGCCTCCGTGGACCGAGGATAAACACCACTTCGGAGACGCAGTACTTGACTGTTACAAACCTGAAACAATATTATTATGCATGAAGAGAAAAAGTTATAATATAATTATTTATCAAATTTGAAATGGACATATTGGCATTACTCTAGCGAGTCTTGGGAAGTGTTCAGTCTCAATCAAAAACACGCATATTCATGCAAATGCAAAACGGAAGACAAATTCATAAGTGCTAGAGATGGAAATCTACTCCTGATCATCCGGATGGAAAACTAATGCCCTGACTTCAATACTCTCCCGTGGCGCCTCATTCACAGTATCCGGGTTAACAAACGCAGAGTGAGGAACTCTGCGGGCCCGACCATCCGTCTTGGAGTCAAAGCACTTGATCAAGGTGACCAAATCCGGCGTCTGGCCGTAGCGATAGTACCATTTAATGTCAGGGTTGGGTTTAACTGCGTATGTCTCGCCCTCACGATCCGGGTAGACCAGCTTGATGCCGACGAGGTCGCTATCCGGAAGCGTATGAGCATCCCCGACGGTCAACGGGTCTTTCAGAATCGGCTTGATAGGCCGCCAAACATTGATGATCTGATAACGTCCTTTGAGGAGCTCCGGGGCATCCTCAGGGAGATGGTAACTGACACGGTTCTTGGCTGCTTCATAGGACTGGTCGATGTGCACACGCTGAACAGGTCCCCGTTGGGGCGTGGACTGAGCCCGCACATCCTTGGGTGCACGGCGAATTGTATGGTCGAAGATGAAGACACGAGAAGCGCCAGTTCTACGGTAATTTAGTTAGTGTCTGAAAATTGCAGAAATTCGGGTAGCCCGTACGCGTCTTTCAACAGCTGCTCCGTCTCTGGATAGTAATCTCTTGCAATTTTTTCATCATCCAGGAAGTCCTTCTCCCGACTCTCATGGTAGTAGTACTGAAAACCATTCTTGTCCAGTGTGTAGTCTAGTTCATGGCCACTCACGTCGTGAACGGTGACGGCAAGCTCGGCGGACGGCCGTTCGTAGGTGTCGGGCCGTGTGACATAGTTTGGGGTGAGATGGGAGCCATCCTCAAGCTCTTTCAGGAAATGCAGCTTGGTTTGAACATGGCGGGGTTTCTCCGAGGAAGTAGGGACCGAGGTCTTTTGTGTAAGTGGCGATGGTTCGTGGCTGGGTGGGACTTGAACTGCAGCAGAGGCCATGATGGTTCGTGTCGTATGTAGCTAAGCTTGCACTAAGATAATTGACGATGTTTGAAACACTCTAACCTTTATGCTTTGATCTACACTGGGGATATTAGGTGAATAGCTACTTTATATACAGGCCCGTTGGTGAAACGTGGAGAGGAATTGACATTTGTCAGATTCGCACGCCATCATCAAGAGTTCAGATGCATGTGTCACTCGATCCGGGATGATAAATATAAAATAGGCCTATTGGAGCTTTGACGAGGGAGGGAATGCATGCAAGTATGACCGCTGAAATACTACAAAAGACGCAATAGGGAGACCATCCACAGCGGCTGGCGAATAGGAGGACCAGTATGTATTAATAATGAGGTTCAATAAGGTCAGCAGAGCACAACAAATAGGTTTCTAATAGGGTTACGCATTTCTAATCCATATAATCCCTTGACGTCAGCGCTTACATATCCAAATTCAAGTGATTCTATACGAGCGAACAAGCTTTGTAATGCCCGTCCCATCCTCGAGCACGTCCTTCTCCTCTTCGAGCTGATAATCCCCCCATCGCGGAAGTAAAACTGTCCATATGTACCAATATAAGATGCCAAATAAAACCCTAGTTCGGTTAGCTTGGTAAAACGCGCAGCCAGTGCTAGGACACTTACACTCCGGCTCCAACAATAGCGTACGTGGCATAGAAGAAATGCACATCTCCCTTCCGATCCGGTGGAGGGAAGAAAGGAGCCGCCAGCAAAGCGAGACAAACTACGATACGTAACCATATTGCCCAATTCCAGGCCTTGAACGGACGGTGCAGGGATGGCTCGCGCCATCGGACAATAAGAAGACCGACCGAGATTGCTAACGCAAAGATCTGCCCAGGATAGCCCTCAACGTCCAAGATGAAGTTGTAAACATCTCCTTGGGGCGGGAGGGAGATTACAAGAATAGATGGCACGTAGTGTACAAGAAGTCCCCCAAGTGGAGAGTTGAAAGGTCGCGATGAGGAAAGTAGATGGGACCACGGGAGAAAGCCCTGACGAGCAATTTCTTGGTTCACACGAGCCTAATATTAACAATCAGCTTGGGAGGGTTCAGATAGCAGTACGTGCAGTCCATACCAGAGCAAATGTCACCACCATCACATTTCCTGCTGCCGAAATGGCAATGGCCAACGGGAAAAGCACTCGGCCCACATGTGCTCCAAACAGCCGCTCAAAGAGTAGGCCTGCAACAAGTTCACCACTGTTCTTAATCTCGTCAAGGGGAACCACAAGGAAGTAGGATATGTTTGCTAGGAAGTAAAGACCGCCCGCAGTCAGAAGGCCTGCTGGGCAAACCGTTTTCACCGTCCTGATCGGATCTTTGACTTCATTGAGGACGTTGTTAACATTGTTCAGTCCCGCATATGAGTAAAAGATCTTGAAGATTGACGTTGAGATCAAGCTCCAACTCCAGTTGGAGCCTTCCCACAGTGTATCCCATGCAAAAGGGTTGTTAGTGACTACACGATCGGATTCTCCGATCGATTCCTCATAGGGACGCAGAAGAATAACCCAAATTCCAGTCAAAGACATGGCCATTATGAGAAAGATCTTAACCCATCCCAGGATGTTCTGAATCCATATTCCAGTTTTGAGAAAGCAGCCATGCACCACGGTGATAAGGGTTAGAAGGCCAACAGCGAGTGCCTTATGTTGATACTCGGTCGACTCGATGTTGAATGCGAACAGGGTGTATTTCGCAAAAATAATAGAGTTGCTCGCTGTGAAGCCTAGTAGTACTGCGTGTACGGCGATGAGAGTGGACGCAAGGAATTTAGGCCTAGGATAAGCGTACTCCAAATATACCTATAAGGAATTAGCATTAATGATTAGTTAGATATGGCACCAGTAGCAAGTCAAGAAGAAACAGAACAGTGTGACTACAAACTCACTTTGTCTCCACCAGAACGAGGCAACATACACCCAAATTCCATTGATACAGCCATTCCACAGGCCGCTAGGATTGTTCCGACCAGCCATAATAATAACGTCAATCCGACACTTCCGGCTGACTTGACGATCGACCCCGGGGTCGCAAACACGCCGCTCCCGATAACACGCGATATAACAAGTATATATGCGCTAGACCAGCTGAGCGCTTTTCCATGCGATAATGCGTCAGGCAATTTGCTTTGTGATTCTGGGTGCAATGGAGCTTCGACATTCGGGTTGTGTACCGCGTCATAAGTAGGAGAAGCCGAGTCCAACAAAGGCTCTGTTTCCGTATTGCTCGCCATGGTAGCAGAGTATTTACAATATCTGTTATTGTTTAATCCAAGTCGAAGCTCTTGGTTCAGCACCAGGCGAGTCTGGCACTGTCGATTTAACTTCCCCAACTGTTCAGGGGATTCTAGTCACCGCGTTTAAGTAGAAGCGGACATCAAAGCAAGGGCAAGGCTTCCAGCATGTTAACGGATATCATTCAGAGTCGGCAGGGCCGGTACTGATAGGTAATTCACCCTCCATGATTTCCTGGCACGTCATTCTGGTCAGGGGTTATGTGTGCAGTTCCTGGAATGCTGAGTGGTCGATAGTATCGATACATCAGACACATCAGACACATCACAGCCCTCGGAGGCCGGCGGCATTGGTCATCATGTGGGATTCAGCGAGGGAGCTGAATAAACGTTAGACAGCCAACTATTGCATTTGTAGTTAACTTGAAGCCTAACGGGGCTGCACTTAGGATAAACCAACGATATCCCCAGGCATCATTATTACTCCACAAAGGGACCGTAAGGACCCTCTACTTTATTTTACTCAGTTTAGGCCAATCTTTCTATATGCATTATGATCTAATGATTAAAGATCAAACGGGGGCGATCATACCCCGTGGAATTTTGTAATTGTCTTGAGGCTTGTATTATTAACGGCCTGGTCGTGATTGTTCCTCATTTACTGCCCTAGATCACATCATCGGATACTTTTATTGGCTTAATGTGATCACCGAATGCAAGACTATTGCGATAGTACTGTATTATATGCGAGGCTTCGTAGCATTGTAACCGTACCCGGAGATGACTCCGATCCAAATACATTCATATATAGTAGAAGTAGAGTAGCTAGATATTGATGAATAGCCAATCTGCAACAAAGCTTTACAACTACTACTTGAAAAATATCTATTTAGCAAACTGCAAGGGGTGGCAGCCAGAATTATCTCGCAACATTCCTCTTGATAACCATCCATCACGTCATATCAACCCCGCGATTCGCAATGCCCAAATATTAGAAATCCCCCAACGAGGTCAACAAAGACCAAGGCAAGTTTCAAAAATACGTAGGGCGTGCCTCTACTGTAAACTTGGAAGGATGGATCCATTACGGCTCGCGTGGCGAGTCCGGTGCTGGGATCAGCTCCTCTATCTCTGACTAGACGCTGCTCGAGTGGTGCCGATAACCGGCCTACCTCTATATATGTGACTGCAGGTGACAGATTACACGTCCAGCAGACTTGATACGTACTCTAAAACGTTCCTTCTATTGAATATGACCGCCGTATCTGCATACGCGCCGCTCGTTACACTGAGCGAGAAGCAGCAAACTATTTCATATCAAGAGATTTATCCGGAACAACGCTCGGAACCTACCTTCGCCAATCCTAATGTACAGGAGGCAATCATACCACAGCTAGGGCAGGCCACTCAGCGTGCCTTGTTATTGAAAGCTGCGCGTGAACAGTACACGCTGGTGACCGATCATGCCATTCCATCAATATCGAACAAGGACGAGATCCTGGTCAAGGTACTCCAATCAGTTTTTCCACAGCTGGACATGCAGGTACTGATTACGCTTAGATCGTGGCGATTGGTTTGAACCCGATCGACTGGAAGGGCCCGTAAGCATTCCTATCCAATTTACTGCAGACCACAGCTGATGGCCACAACCTTAGAGCTTTCAATTTCGGTATTCCAAGTCTGCCATGGGTTAATGGGCGAGATTTAGCCGGGGTTGTCGTTAAAGCAGATAAGTCTTCACGAGTACAAGAGGGTGACATAGTTCTTGTCCCGTCCACCGATTATCGCGATATCCGAAAAGCGGCTTTTCAGGAATATGCGATCGCGACTCATTTCAATGCTGCGCGCATTCCACCCACCCAAAGTATCCATGCTTCTGCTTCCTTAGGGGTTGCCTTCGTTGCATCTGCCCTCGCCTTGGGCGTCTCACTTGGATTGGACTTCTCTCACGCATCGACATGCCCGGGACCGGACCTCACAGAGGCAGTTCGCCGATTAGACGCTGATACTATCCCGGTGGATATCAGAGAGGAGTGTTATTCCGGTCTCTCCGAGATTGAACAAGTCAAACCCGGTGACTGGATCGCGATTTGGGGAGGTGAGAGTCCCATTACCTTTGAGACGGGGCCATTTAGACTAACCCATCCAGCCTCTACTACTACTGGATACATCACGTTACAACTTGCGAAGCTTGCTGGATTGAAGGTAGTCTGCGTGGCAGATATTGCCCGTCACGGTGCGAGACTAGTTGATCTAGGGGCCGATGCCCTGGTGGACCGACACGATACCCAGCGCGCCATCGACATCATCAGAGGATTAACAAAGGGAAAGCTGCGATATGCCATTGACATCGTCGGTAAAGACACCGCAACGCTACTGCAACAAACGCTCGATGATGCCGTCCACGAAGACGGATCGCACGCTCATCTTCTGGGCCTCACCGGCCTCCCCAAAGACCGAAGCCCCAATATTATTTACCATACTGTCCCGATTAAGTTGTTCCATACGTCACCACAGGTAGGAGAGCGGATGGTCTCCTGGCTAGAAGATTTATTACATTCCGGTGCCCTTCAGCTACCGGAGATTATTCGCACGGAAGGCGGGTTGGGTAATGTGAATGCGTCATTAGAGCTTCTTCGACAAGGGACCGCTTCAGGGAAGCGTATTGTTGTTGACCTTGCCGGATAGTACATATGGTTATGTTTGATTACTATGTTAGAAGCCGGGAATCTGTTCACTAGATGCCTTACGATAGAATGAGATGGAAGAAATCTCAGCGCTTCATGTCTACTTATCGACATCACTCCGAACGCGCTCTCACGTAAGATTCTATTGGAATATAAACTACAATTGGCATATATGCTCCGGCTGATCCCCAGCGCAAGTCGAATTTCATCTAGCCATTGTCAAAACGCTAGATAATCAGATTCCGAGCATGTGGGCGCGACATCCACGTCCAAACACCAAATCCACAGGCACCCCGCTTGGAGGTATTATATTTACCCCTCATCGAGCAAAAGTCCCTTGAAGGACCATTGTCACGACCAGGCATCCTTTGCTCCTTGCGTGATGGGGGACGAATAAGCGGCGGCGAAGACGTGCCTCGGATCGCCGATTGCGACAGTCTCGGCGTGGATGATGGAAGATCGAGATCCCGTTGGAGTACCAGCTTCCGATGCGAATATTACTCCAAATCGGAGACTCTCACTGAACTTTGTAGAGAATTTGTACCACATGAGAATTCGTCGATGGGGCCCTATCGTTGCAGTCGGCAATCGTGCTGGGGTTGTGTCGGAACCCTAAGCCAATTAACTTGGGTTCGCCCTGTGGGATACGAGAGAAATCTGAAGCTGAGCTGATGGAACAATGAGCTTTTTTGCAATTAGATTTACACATTAATGTGATCACAGGCTAGGTTACCGACCAGGACCGCTCTCCAGGACTCCTATATATTCCCCGATGCCTGGATATCAGGAGGGGACTGCACCAACTCAGGCGATTCAACCATTTCCCATATACCACCTTGTATCCAAAACACAGAAACGCTACACAGACCACCACTATGGGCTCAATCGATCAGCCCAAGAAGCAACTCATCCTAAATGCATTTGCGATGCAATCACCCTCCCACCTGAACCCAGGTCTCCATCGCTACCCGAAGGACCAAGGCGGCGCCTACAAGTCGCTGCAGCATTGGGTATCTCTGGCGCAAAAGCTCGAGGCCGCAAAGTTCCACGCGATCTTCTTCGCCGACGTGTTAGGGGGATACGATGTCTACAAGGGTCCAGCCAACCTGGATCCGACCATCCTGCGGGCGCACAATTTCCCATTAATGACCCACTGTACAGTGTTCCCGCGATGGCGGCCGCGACCGAGTCGATCGGGTTCGGCGTCACGGCATCGACGACATACGATGCACCGTATGCGCTCGCGCGACGATTCTCAACCGTTGACCATTTGACCAACGGTCGCGTGGGATGGAATATTGTGACGTCGTACCTGGATTCCGCGGCGCGTAATTTTGGCCTCAACACGCAGGTCGAGCACGACGAGCGCTATCGCATTGCAGATGAATACCTCGATGTCACATACAAACTCTGGGAGGGCTCCTGGCGGGACGATGCTGTTAATGTCAAGGATGGAGTGACTGGGTATGCTGATCCCAGAGCCGTCAGGCAGATCAACCACGAAGGGAAATACTTCACCGTCCCAGGGCCACATCTGTGTGAGCCGAGTCCGCAGCGCACGCCTTTCCTGCTACAGGCCGGTACCTCCACCGCAGGCAAGGCCTTCGCGGCGAAGCACGCCGAAGCGATTTTCTTACACGGTCAAACCCCGGAGCTAGTGCGACCGTCCGTTGATAATGTTCGACAGCAGGCACAGGCGCAGGGTCGCGATCCCGCTTCCATCAAGGTTGTGGCGGGTATTCTGGCTATTGTGGCCGAGACTGACGAGGCGGCTCATGCGAAATTCGCTGAGCTGGCTCAGTATGGAGATCCGGAGGGCGCTCTGGCTTTGTTCGGTGGATGGTCAGGGTACGACTTGTCCAAATATGAGGACGATCAGGACTTTCGGTTCGTGGAGCAGCCTGCGATCCGTAGTATGGTGAATCATTGGGCAAGCACGGTGCCGGGGACGGAGGGCAAAAAATGGGACAAGAAGACAATCTCAGAATACCTGATCATGGGGGGCAATGGGGCAAAGGTTATTGGAAGTGCGAAGACTGTCGCGGATGAGTTGGAGCGGTGGGTTGAAGTCGGCGATGTGGATGGGTTCAATCTGAGCTATGCCTCAATCCCTGAGACTTTTGACGATATCATAACGTATTTGATTCCGGAGTTGCAGAGGCGAGGGATCTTCCACACAGAGTATGCCGTCAAGGGAGGCACATTCCGCGAGAATGTGTATGGAGAGAAGGGACAGACACGACTGCCCCAGTCTCACCCAGGGGCTAAGTACGTGTGGCACGCAGGAGAGGAGACCCCAAAGTACGCGTTAGAAAAGCACACGTAAATTTATGAAAATAGACTATGAATGCTAAGTACAGATACACAATGTGACAGCTTGGCGACACTCCCATTTACCCGACTGCTGCTGGTGCTGCAGGGGCGTTCAGTTCAAATGAGAGAATAGCAAGAGCGAGTTGCTCCATTCCAGTTCATGATTCACCCAAATGGTTAACAAATAATACAATACCAGATACAGTAAGCCAGGGCTTCCTGGAGAGTTGTGGTACCGAGAGAACCAAGATAGTTCAGATTGTCTACCTCTCAATTATCCCAGATTAAAACTACATAAATGTAGGGACAGAGCGGTTACCTCACGGTATACCTGGACTTATTCCCTCCTGGTGTATCTGCCGTAAGGATACTGGGTCTATCACTCCATGGGGCAAGCCCAAGTGACAGATAGCGTCGCCATGAGACTTGATAATATCACTACGTAACATTTCCTTTTCAATCCGAAGTTCGTTCGGGGAGGCTACCCGCTTCCAGATATGAATTGTCCGATGCTGAAGTTTCATATCCCAGGTACTCCGCACGGTAATGGATGGATTGTTGGGCCCCTTACGAAAGATGAATCCGCACGCTTTTCTCCTGCCACCGTTCCATAGTGCCATAGTCTGTAGCCTTGGCATGTTGAGCGCAGCTTCTGCAGCACCCTCTAACAAGTTGGAAATGTTCTTGTAATATGTTGCAGGAGTTAATAGTGGTGAAGTCAGCACCAGTGTCTCGAGATTGGCCCAAGTCCATAATGGTTGGCGGGCTTGAAAGAAGTGTTGAGCGTCGACCATATATGAAACGTAAAGCTGCTCCACGTCGAGGCTCCTGTATGCCAAGGCAGCACCAACTGCAGGTTGTGCTTGCCGGACGTAATCTGGCTGCAGGCACGTCGTTTGTTCGACTAGTGTGACATGGTCCTCATTGAAATCTTCAAATAGTGATATTCTCTTGAGGCCTTTCGGTAAGTGCGCCTCAATCATGGTTCCGTAGTCTATAACATAAAGATTAGCCTTACTCCATCAAATGGGAAGCAACAAACTCGGATACCTATATCATAATGCAATTTCTGCACTGTCCTATCCAACACTCGCCATGGCTCGTATACTAAGTGTTTCAATTGAGGAAGCTTGTCCAACAGAAGCCATAAAGTTCTGGGTACAAATTGACGACGGCATTGTCGACGTAGTACGAGCTTCGTGACTGCGTGGACCTCAGGAAGATCCTTTTCGAATCTCAAATCAATTATCTCGAAGAGCCGCAACAAAGCGTGTCCATCAGGGACGGCCAGCTGCCGACCGTCAACCCATCCGTGCTTGGGGTCGTGAAATGTGGCTGTGACTTTCTGCCCATGAGCCCTACTCCCGACAATGCCTTTTCGATCCTCGCAATCGACGCCAAAATAACTGGTCTTAAACCAGTGTTCTGAGTCACTGGGAGACTGTGCGCTGAGTTCCAGTGACAAACCATCACCAACTAGATCCCAGCTGTTTAATATGGAAAAGAGTTTTGAGATCGCCTGTCGGATGATACGGTTGTTGCTTGATGCCCATGAACATGACTCTAGGTCTTGGCAGCTTCGACAGGTGTATGTACGAAGCTCTATGTTAAGCCAGATATGTTTCACGAGACTCCGTTGCCGACGAACCATACGCTCGAAGTCATCTAGACAGGATGCTCGCAGCTTCAGTCGACGGAATATTCTCTTCTCTATAACAGTCTGCCATTCCTTGCAGACTGTGGCGTAAGAAGCCAACCCATGCTTCTGCCGTAAAAGTAACTTCAGGATCATGAGGCGTATTTCTCGGGTTAGGGAATACCAGTGCACCATTCTGGTAATCTTCTGAATCAAGGGTTTTCTGTAGTTGTAAAAGGTGTGAGTCGATAGTTCACAGTGGGAGACAGGTGCGTTACTGGCCTTTGTGGCAATGGTCCAGAGTGGTCATGACGGAAGCATGATTGATGCCATTGCGGTTACCTTGGTGGCGCACGCCATAATGAGATACCTTGATTCCAATTTACCCCCAGAGGTGTTTAGACATGTCCGTCAGGATGATGTTATGGCGTGACTTAATCGGCAAGAATGCCTCAGCGCAATAACAAACCATCAGCGGCTAAGGAGTTGTTTTCACCGGAGGGTGCTAAGGTCGAGAGGGAATGAAAAAGAAAAAGCTTCACATGGTAGAAGATAATTTCATATAGCAGGCTGCTATAACCTGGTTCTAAGGCAAGAGTCAAACATCTAGGGCTAACACATAGTGAACAATCAAACATCCCACCACCCCTCCATATACGTGCGAAGATCTATTGTATCAGGCCGCCTCACATGCGGCACCAAATCTGCGCCCTGAGACCGTTCTCGCTTGGTCCACCCATTGCCAAAATACGCAAATCGATTACCGCTAGGGTTGACATATGCGTACTCCCAATCCTCCCATCGTGGCTCCCGTCGGATATAGTTTACTGTGGCAGCGCTTCCAGGGAATAGGCCATGGATACGTCCACCAGGACGGCCACCATTATACCAAGACCGGCAATTCTTCTGTCCAGGGGTGGAGTCATCGTTGCCCGTCCATACGGTGCGAGGGTAGAATGTATCAGAGTACTCGACAAAGTCATCGGTGGCTTGTTTAGATGGAGCCATCGACTTGATATCCTGGCTACGGATCTTTCGCAAAAGCTTGGCGATATAAGTGACCAGGTTCTCCATGCTATTCGGGACGCTTCCGCTATGACCTGTGGCATGAGGACCGCCAATCCAAAGAAGATTTGGAAAGCCTGGTGTTGCGATACCAAGATAATTATAGGGGAATCCCCACAAGCCATCATGCTTCCAAGCTTTCTGTAGATCGATTCCATTTGCAATGATCGGGAACGGAGGTGCGTGGTCAACATTGGCTCCGGTAGCGCAAATCACGACATCAACAGACCTTTCAACGCCATCTGCTGTCACGATGCCTGTGCTTGTGAAGCGTTCGATCGGCGTCTGAATGTAGCTCACGTTATCTTTTGTCAGGGCTTCAAGATAGCCAGGCCCTGGTGTAGCTCGCCGACAGTTTGGCGGAAACTCCGGTAGAATTTTATCTGCTAACTCCGGTTTCTCAGCGATACGCTGAAGCATTAATTGTGTCCACGTGTCTCGTTGGGCGCGGTTCTCCGGTGAGTCTTTGAAGATAGCACCAAAGCGTGAGAAGTATCCTTCTTCCACACTCTTGCGATATTTGATATATGTTTCTGGGTCTTTGAACGATTCAAGCTGTTCGGGAGAGAACAGGTTTGGCTCGAGTCGGCGCACACCAGTCGTGCCAAAGGAGTCTGCGACCCAGGTGCGGTTACGCGCGTAGTGATCGACATGCTGTGCAATCGGCTGGATTGAAGGCAGAACTTGGAGGCCGGATGCCCCATTGCCAATAAGAGCAATTCTCTTTCCTTCCAAGTCGGCCTCATGATTCCAATGTGAGGAATGGAAAATGGTACCCGTGTATTGATCGATGTCGGGATAGTTTGGTAGTTTCCAATCATTGAAGTGGCCGATCGCATTAATCAGGACGTCAAGATGTTCGACATATACCTAGTTCTAGTCAGTATCATTCCTTTGGTGAGGGTTCTATAGAAGCGTTCGCACCCTTCCGATGCCGACATCCTGAACGGTGACACGCCATTTTCCTGTTTCAGGGATCCATACGGCTTCTTCCACCTGGTGTTGCAGCCGTATATATTTGTAAACCTGATACTTGCGGGCAAGCCCTTGCCAGTACTCCCGAATTTCGTGCCCCTGTGCGAACTCCTCCGTCCACTGCGTGTTCGGTGCAAATCCGGATTGATATACATGCGCTGGGACATCGCATCGGACACCAGGATATGTGTTTTCGTACCATGTACCGCCCTGATACTAGTCAATGATCTCCCACATCTTGCTAGGCAAGGGCAGTTCTTAGGAACACCTACCACATCCGCATTCTTATCGAAAATCCGGAGGTCAAGACCTGGTACCTTAGCTGGCAAGAGAATCCCAGCAGTAATACCAGCTATGCCAGCACCGATGACACCAACTTTAATATTTCGAACTTCATCGATCGGATGTTCCTCTATCTCGAAGGCAGGCCTTCCTTGGGGAGAAACCTCCTCTGTTTTCTCTATGATAGTAGACGTGGCCGGTCCTTTGATATCTGCCGAGACACCGACCGGCGCATGACTTTGTGCATGGCCACTTAGTAATGGGATAGCCCTATCCGGCACGACAGGTACTTCAACAGCAGCCATTCTGATATGAGATTCTCTACTAGCTGATTAGTAGGGAGTGTGTCTCCAACTGCGCGTTTAAATATCGTAGCCGAGGTGATGTTGCGCGAGTTGGAGCTTAATTGCGCTCATCATCGCGGGGCCCGAATCCTGGGATACCCCTCAATAGGAGCACTAATTATAGACTACATGCACGCCATCGGCAGCCATTCTGCGATAGGATTGTTGGTGTTGCATTTTGGCAGGCATTTCGGGTCGCGGCGTCACATCATCGCGGGAGTCAATGGTGTCAGACTCCTTCCAAGAAATAACCCGCAGATCCCCGTAATTTTCAAAAGGCCACTGTATTTTTAACGGTGTCATGATTAAGAATCACTAAGAGAAGAACTACGATTTGTAATTTTATTTCTCCCGCAACTATGGGGATTTGGGGTTGACTCCAACGGTCCAGACTCTATCTCAATTCTGTTGTAGGTCACTTTTGACGCGATAATATCACCACACTTGATTCGTGATAACTACCTCCTATAATCCTCTTTACTGAACTCATAGTAGTATGGTTGTGCTGGCACAGACATTACAAATTATGCCATCCACTCTGCCTGGAATCCTGCCTGAGCTAATGGTTGTCAGCATCAAACTCCTTCCATATGCCATCGATCGCCTCATGTCGCTTCAACGCCCAGTCAAAAGTAGGATACCACTCATTCTTGCGATAGGCCTCGTAGAGACGGGCAATATTCTGCGCAAAAACTGGTAGCTCATCCCACTCATCTGTCTCCGGCAGTAGCTCCTCTACCTCTTTTGTCTCATTTCTGGCAATCTCCAATTTGATTCCCGGGCCGCCGACATTCAAAGACACATGCGGGGAGGCCAATCGCAGCCAGCCCTTTTCGCCTTGAATACGCCAGTCCAGTCGGGGCTGGCCCGGGAACTCCTTTCCGGCATGGAATTTGATAGTTACCGCGGCATTGGAAGGCTCAACCGTGCCATAAACGAGGACCTGATCCGGAACAGTATTGCGAGCACTCGTTTCGACGATCTTGCCGGCCTCTCCAACGCTATAGTCCTTAATATCTATCGTGGGTCGGCTGATTGACGAAAAGCTCCTGAGAGTCTTGAATTCCCCGAGGACTGTAAAACGTATTAGTATCAAGCCGAAGCATATATATCTTTGAGGCTACTCGCCGGCAGCAATGAACTCCAAGCTGTGGCCAACATGAATAGTCATTGTATTTCCTCCAACTTCACGATCGAGGAAGTACCGTACGTTCTTGCTCTCTGCGTCAACGTTATTGCCAAACGATCCGGTGATCGTACTAGAGAGGACACGTCCAATCTGGTCACTTTCGATAACAGATCGCATCTTGTGAATGATCGGTGAAAAGGCGCCCTGGATGCCTACGATCGTGCGCGCATTATGCTTAGCCGCTAGAGTAGCCATCTCTTGCGCCACCTCGAGATTCCGGTCCAGTGGCCATTCCACGTAAACTGCTTTGCCGGCGATAAGGCTAGGGCGCACAGTCAGGAAGTGTCGGTCAACACGTACACTGCAGACGACAAGGTCGACGTTGGGGTCGTTGGCAAGATCTAATCTTATCGTAAGTATTTTCCCGCTTTATGTGGTTTTCGAGCGAACCTTGCGGATCACCGTAGGCCTTAGTCTTGTCCGGCAGGCCATATTTCTGGATTGCTGTTTGTGCAGAATCCACAGAGCTATTTAGCAGCGCAACAATCTCGAAATTGGGGGACTTGGTGAGGAAGGGCAAGTGGGCGTTGGCAGTCCACGAGGTGCCCTCGTATTTCTCTGCCGAAGCGCTGTGCAATCCGATTAAACCGACTCGAATAGGAGACATACTTGGTTAATGTCTGGTTAATTTCACTGTGATTGTAGGATGTGCTCTGGGTCTTTGGAGTTTCTACTATATATGTACACCAAAGATATCGGGAATCTGACACGATAGCTAGCTTTATTATAAATCAAAACGGGCAGCATGATCCTTCCGGCAATCTTGAAAGTTCCTTCTGCTTAGAAATCAAAGAGACTGAGCTACATTTAAACCCCAATAATATGCATTCAACTATAGTCACCGGCGTTTTTTAAGCGATCGGAGCTTTCCTCTGCTAGATTCAAAGGCTTTGGTGAGTCTGAAGGAGTAGACACTGGATGACCAACAAGAGCCTGGAAGTTATTCGCAAATCGCCTACTCAGTTATATTCGGGAATGGTAGAGATTCACTTCAGGTTACTCTACATGATATCTACCTATTTTCAACGTAGTACCTTATCGGTTGCCGGCTGTTACATAGAAGTCCTGCCAGCGATATGTCTGCTCGAAGCGCAACATCCGCTTCATCTTTCTATTAGTGACCGGAGCCTCCCTAGCTTCCATCTCCCTCGTAATCGGTGCGTTCGGACACATCTTCTCCAAGAACGCTGTAGTCGACTCGGCGAAATTAGTAATCTCATCATTGACTGCATTGAAAATCTGAAACCCTAGCCCATCCGTCACCAAGCATCTTTCAAACATAAGTCCAATATCTCTTGCATCTGTATATGCCCAGCCATGCGCCTTATACTCCTCAGGTCTCTCCACATATCCTTGGAACTTTTCCTGGAATTCATCAGGTGCAACCACTGCTCCTAATCGCATCACGTAGATGTCATTTTCAAACCGTCGCGCAAAGCTCCGTGCCGTGCGCTCCCCACAGACCTTAGACAAGGCATATACATCCATTGGGTTTGCATCTACATCCTCATCCACAGGCAACGACGGATAATCAACATCTCCCTCGGCGAACGAAACGCCGTACACGGTTATGGAGCTTGCTAGAACGATCTTCTTCACGCCCAGCCGACAAGCAGCTTCGATCACGTTGTAGAATGATAGTACATTGCCTCGGTATGTCTCTGTATCAGGGACGATCATGTTACGCGCGTATCCTGCGAGGTGGATGACGGCGTCGGGGATTTGCTGGTGGGGTTCGCGAAAGGGTTCGGTGAGGCGGAAATGCGAAAGGAGGGCGCCATGGACTTGGCCATTGTCCGTGAGGTCTACCTTCAGAGTGTGGACCTGTGCCTTGAGTGGTGGTGGCAGCGGGTGTAAGTCCAGGTTCAGGATGGAGTATCCCTGGGCGAGAAGATGGGCGATGATATATTGGCCTGCTTTGCCGGAGCCGCCGGTTACGATTATTCGCTTGGACATGACTTGATATGGGGAGGTGGCTGCAGAATCAGGAATACCAAATCGATTCTAAGGTTGCTAGAGGGTTGGTGAGAGTATGGATGTTATCAGAGACGTCTTTCTGTTCACTCTGCTGGTGGATATTCGCTTTTCCATTCATTGCGGGGCAGTGCGGGGAAAAGAGCTTAGGTGGATATAAGCCCTACATTTCCATTAGATCGACGTATATTCCGGTAATTTGGACATAGACATCCGTGTATATAGTGAGACTTACGACAGACGTCAGCCAAAACAGCACACCTTAATTTTATGGCAGACTCACTTCACAGCTTATGTATATGTCATATAGATATTTCATGTTTCCAACTGGAAAAGTCCAAAAGCCACGTCTATGAGGACAAAAAAGAGTATAATAAAAGGAGAAAGGAGAGGGAGCAAACTACGATGACTCTTTCAGGGGCAAACACCTGTCGATGCAGAGTATATATGCTCGGCACATCGATTAATACTTCAATACTGAAACATAACTAGATCAGTTCATCTTAGACCTTAGACATGCCCATTGCCTAATGATATGGTATACAGTGCAGCTGACATGCTGTACGTTGGACCAAGTACCGCTTGCAAGATATAGTGAACTGGTTCTGCGGGCCTCTTGAGTCTAGAGTGTACTATGCAAAGGATTTCAACTCGATCTATTGGCCAAAGTACACTTTTTTATATATGTATATATATATTTCTCAGTCTCTACAGTCTAAATATCTGATATAGCAACATATATACGGTCTCTCCCATTTAATTGACATTTAGGTGATGATCAAATCTGTAGACATCAGAAGCACTCGTGTGGGATATGAGGCAACGAAAAGATATATAGTTTCAGAAGATCCTTCATGATCTGAACTCAAGATGAGAACTTGCGAGCTATACCACTATTGAATGAACATACATATTTGATGGATATTATTCAATTTCTCAGGTCTTTTGGAGAGCGTATACTATTATCAAGTTGTGTTGTACCAACCTGTTGTGATGAATCTGTTATGGATTGATGAGCGGGTTACTCTATTTGGCAGCCAACCAAAGGAGGCAATTCCGGTCGCCCCGTGACTGGGGCAGCAGCTCACGCTAGCCATATACGGACTAGTGTACTATGTATGAAGATGGAAAAAGCATACAATGAAAGGAAGGCATCATTTGTACACTTGCTTACTGATCACCCCCTTACTTGGAGATTGACTGATATAAGCATTCTCGTAGAACCTCAACAAGGGATATGTTCATGGTGCAACGCGATCTGAGATCATTACCTGAGCCTTTCCCTCCCCTAGTCGACTATGCTGTCCTTACGCGTGCGTGGCACGCGTCTACTAGGTCGCGTGACCCACAATTCTCTCTCACAGACGCAGGCCAGGAACTTCTACTCAAGGAAGCACACATCCCCAACTATCAACAAGACATGGAGGTCCTTTGCAGTTACCGGCTTGGTTAGTACACCAGGTCTGTGGTGGCTGACGGCCACTCAAGACGACGATGTGCCTCGTCTCGAGGCTTCTCCAGCCGGGCACTTAGTGGCCGAGCCGGGTCCTTCCAAGAACGAAGTGACGCGTATCATATCTCAAGATTCATATTCATTTCCAGTCAAGAGTGTTGCTGGAGTGAACAGATACGACGGCACACAACTGGCGTCCAATAGCCTGTGCGAGGACCGGTTCACCCATGGTGTTTTCCCGTCCCCGTTGAATAATGGCACTCAGTGGATGGCCTGGGCGGTCTTCGACGGACATGCGGGCTGGCAAACAGCAGAGCTCCTGAAGGATCAATTGTTGCCGTTTGTGCGACATGGCTTGAGTCAAGTTAAGTCAGCATCCTCCGATGAAGAATCCATACCTGATGAGGTGCTTCACCACGCGATCACGAAGGCGTTTGTGGACCTGGATGACTCGATTATAAAGACAGCCTTGCAGACTGTCCAGAGTAGCGAGCCGCTACAGGACAAGCTGAAGAAACTGGCTCCTGCCTACGCTGGTTCATGCGCTTTACTCTCTATGTATGATTCGGTTACAAATTCATTACACGTGGCGTGTACTGGAGATTCCAGAGCGGTTTTGGGACAGCAATTGCCAGATGGCAAATGGGAGGCAATTCCATTGTCAGTCGACCAGACTGGCAGCAACGAAGATGAGGTTGCGCGGATTAATCAGGAGCACCCAGGCGAAGAAAACATAGCTAAAGATGGACGGATACTAGGGATGATGGTCTCACGAGCTTTTGGTGATAGTCGATGGAAGTGGGCTTTGGACCTCCAGCAGGACCTGAAGGAAAGGTTTGGGGGCCCATCACCGCTAACGCCAAGGTATGACGTTCGCACCCCACCATATCTAACTGCCGAGCCTGTTGTGACCACGACGAAGATTGACCCGAGTAAACCTTCGTTTGTCATCCTGGCTACGGACGGCATGTGGGATACACTCTCCAATCAGCAGGCTGTGGATCTAGTGGGTAAATGGCTGGATACTCAAATCCATGGGCATCCAACCAGCTCACCGAAACCAGAGTATAAATCTGTCGACTTCGGTGATCTTGGGAACGGGGTGGATTGGGAATTCGAGGAGGGGAGAACGACAATCCAAGATGATAACGTTGCCGTGCACCTAGTGCGCAATTCCCTTGGGGGGAACCACCACGAGCTCATAGCAGGCCGTCTCGCTCTTGGTTCTCCGTTCTCCCGCCGTATACGGGATGATATGACCGTGCAGGTGGTTTTCTTTCACTGCCCACGTCTACCAGCAAAGTAAGCTATAAGAACATAATACAACAATTCACAATGATTATTTCCTAAACTTTGTTCAATTCTAACTATGTTTCGGTGGCCCCACCAACTTGGGCTGGGTACTACTATTGGTTATGATGTTATCCTGAATGTGCCGACCGATCACTATCGTAACTTCTTCGGCTACTGATGATGCTTCAAGGTGGTGAGATATTCATCAAGGCTTTGAAGCTAATGTCGATGGCCCACCATTCAGGTCCAGCACAACTTCAACTCTGGCATGATGGGTCTCGGCTTCTTTCTCACAACTCATTTGCTAAACCCTAGTGCAAAGGTCATACAGATTGATCAGGCTGTGGGCATGCGAATGTCAAGGAACGTACTGATGATTGGGAATGTTATCACAGGACAAACCAATAACGACAGCCAAGCAGTCACCTAAGCAACTGCTTGCAACGGCTAGCTCCCTGTAGGGATGACTGAAGTCTAGAAGCTCACGTCTCTGTACATCTTCCTCGTTTGCTAAAGATAGACGGCATACAAGAGGACGGCCTACTATGTAAACATTGGTATGGCCCTATAGAAGGAAACTACTCCTCATGATATCATCAGCAACGGGCTCGTCTTAACTCGATATACAATAGGTGTCCAAACATTGAGCAGTTCTGATATGGTAAGGAAATCCTCAAGTGTGTACGAGCAGGTGAGCTCATGATGTCCAAAAAGTACATACATAACAAGGCTCGAAGGAGAGTAAAATGACAGGCATCAACAACTAGTCAAATAGACCCTACGTTGTGCTGACTGAATCCACGGGTCTTCTCAACGATACAAAAGCACCTTCACCCTTTGCAAGATCCCCCCTGATGAGGTCAGAGCTGTACTTTGGAATGAATGAACCCTCCTTGACAACACCGTATTTGACGATGTAGAGCTTGGGATCGCCGGCAATTTCAACGACACAATTGTGCCACGGCGTTGGTATATGAAGAAGATGCGATGCAGTCACAACACCTTCATCAGTTTTGATACCACCACTACCGATTGAATCTAGTTGGCCAATGGCGCGTACCGTCGCAGTGTCAAATAGTCTGACCCCGAACTTAGGGCCGGAGTTATTGTGGGCATGGATTGACAGGCGTAGACAATCCGGGAATATCAGCTCAATCAGATTGGAATATGCTTGATTTCGCAAGATCATCTCGAAGGAGACTTTAGCTGCAAGCTTCTTTCGTTGAGAGCGCGACTGCGACTGTGTGAGTGGATGTCGATCTAAATCCTGGAGCATGAATCGCGAAAACCCACGATACAAAGCTAAAGTAGACTCGTCCCCGGATTTGATTTGTGTACGAAGACTCTCTTCAGAAGGCTGACAGCCGGCTACTAGAATTCGACGACACAATTCAGCGATGTTGTCGAGATTTGTGGCGAGGTAATGTTGCAGTTCGGGGAGATCCAGCATTCCGACAGCAATCGGGGAAGTCAGAGGTGAGACCGATCTCAGATTGAACAAGTCAACAAGGGATTGAAACTGAACTCGCTCATTTTCTTCACCCATGGCTAGAGAGATGGCTTGATTGAGCACTTTGAGATGTTCACCATATTTATCTACTGTCTCATCGTCAACGCCGACTGTCGTAGTTGTTAGTTGTAAGATATCACAGGGGCATGAAAGATTGACAACTTACTGCAGTCGCTAAAGACGTGACCATCACTGATGATTAAGATTTTAGCTCCAGGTGGATATATTTGTTCGACTTGATGTGCAAATGCATGCAGTCGGCGCAATGCAATTTCCTCGCCCCTGTCTGGGAGGACACCGATGACCTTGTCAAGATTCGATGACTTGCATGGAAACGCCGGAAGGCACAGTTGCAATGTGGAACTATGACGTACAAAAAAACGCACTTTTTCTGCAAAGTAACTTCGACCCTGAGCTTCCCATTGATCATTCTGCACGCAATACCGGAGCTCTTTGTCGAACAGATTGACGATCTGTTCAATTGTTAAGTCTACCGAAGGCTCGGTTACTGCTGGAAGAGTGGTCGCAGTGATATCGATACGGTCTAATATAAGTTCTGCAAAGAGCTGATCTATCGACATTGTGCCAATCGTCCAACCCGGTAGAGCAGGTTTGAGCATGAAACCGACGATACTCTCCGTATTCGCTCTTTGTCTTTCGTAGATGTCGACTTCCTGCAATCCAAAGTCGTCATCATTGCCAGGTAGGCAAACCTTAAGGCAATGATCCAGACTTGGGCGTGTAGCTATAACTGTCGATCGGATTGCTGACCAGGTATATTGGATCCATTGCGAATGCAGTCCCACGCAACGGATGAGACCACCGTCAGGAGTTCGTACATACACTCCCAGCGCCCTTTCATGGATTGAGGGCATTGCAGCTGCTCTCTGCATGACGCTCGTTCTCGCCATGCTGACTGGAAAATATACAGAAGTCTTCACAAGAATGTGAGGTAAAAAGCGAGCAAATCTGGGTGAAGCTGGTACAATAGCAAACCATTAACTCTTAAGTTGTTTTTTTGACAGCGACTGCCAAAAGGAGATGCTTGAATCATGCCAGAGCCAGATCCACCCATTATTGTCTAGCTGATGCTCGTATTATTACGCAACTTGCAAGGCTGCTAGCGAACAGCACGGTCTGTTATTCCCGTGGCAGGATTTAGAGCGAACATGGATCTGAGACCGGACCCTTGAGGGCCCAGCCAGTGGGTCCATGTTATTTACTTAGCTTCCTCATGCACAATACGAATAGAACTTACACGGGAGTCAGACAGAGCCCACTGTGACTTCACTGGGGCTACACTTGGGCGGAATTCGGCAGCTTCGTCCTTTGGTAGCCAGTTAGCATGAGGCTGTTATTCATGATTCCCACAAGATGTAAATCCTTACGAGGTCCACTGGGGCCAATGCGGTCACCCGTTGATTCTACTTCAAGATTTGACGCTCTAAACGACACCAGCGCTCCGTGCTCTTTCCAATCTGAACACCCAACACCCCACAGAATGATCATGCACGCTCTCTGTATCATTATCGGGAAAGCCCTCGGGTCAGGGATCTTGCTTTTAATAGTTTGTATCCTCTCGAAGATTGTACCTCCTCGTTACCCCCGGAGTATTCCGGCTGTCCCCTTCTGGGTGACTTTGCTTTCCTTGTTTCGCGATATCGACCAAGAGGATATCTACAGGAAGTATATTCAGAAGCCTCTGCAAACCCATGGAGCTATTAAGATATTCTTTGCAGGGCAATGGAACTTGCTCGTACAACGGTCAAGCTATCTCAACGAAATATTTAGAAACGAAGACATGTATCAGAAAAGCGGGAACCAAAAGAAGATCCCACACAGCGTACTTGCTGAGTTCTTAGGTCTATTCCCGTCCCTCACCCGATTGCTCTATTGCTGACAGTTGTGCCGAAAGGTGACAACGTGATTTCTTCCCGAGGCACAACTTGGCGACTCTATCGAGATATTATCACGCCGGGTCTTCAGGGACACTTTGACACAGGTCTCGTGGCTGCAAATGCAAAAGAGCTGTGCTCTTCGCTTTCCACCTTCCAGAATACAGTCGGCAACCGGGGTGTACTTGTTCAGGACCTCCTGCAACAGTTTACCATCGCCAATGTTTCGCAAGTACTCTTGCAAGCAAAACACGTCGGTCACCTTGTTTAATGAGTCCAGCTTATTCACCACTGACCCGAAAGGTACAGAAACCTACCAAAGGAACCGAACCATCGCTTCATCAGCTACAATTATCTGTAAAGAAGGAGATATTCAAACCCATATTCATGAACTTTCCCGTCCTGGACAGATTCGGTAAGTTGATTCCGTGCCGCGTGAGAGCCCGAAACGTGGTGGAACAGTTCTCAGCCGCATTGGAGAATTGCGTACGGCATGGCCAGGAAGCACCCCAACCTGGAAACTTAGGGGCACGTTTAATCGCTGCGAGAGATCGTGGGGTACTCACAGAGAAGCAATTCCGGGACAACCTGAACGTGCTTTTTGTCGCCGGACAAGAGAACCCGCAACTGCTCCTGATTTCGATGCTGTACTTGCTTGCGAAGTATCCGGTAAGCGTGTCAAGCCCTCTAGACTGGACGTAGCTGATGTCATAGTATGTTCAATCCCGACTGAGGCAGGAAATCGACACATGCAATACGTACGACGCCTCGAAGGTTGCTTTCAGCGAGCTTCCCTATTTGACATCCGTCATTTACGAAAGCCTCCGCCTTCTGCCTCCAATATCGCAACTCATCAATCGCAGGACGTCACAAGACCTCGTTTTGGGAAATCAGATCTACATACCCAAGGGCACATACGTCGGATACAACTGCTACTCCACCAACCGTGACCCTGCAGTCTGGGGACCGACAGCGGACGAGTTCCGGCCGGAGCGGTGGGGTCAGAGTAGCACAGAGATTTCGCAGTGTTACCGTCAGAGGAGAGCCCGTGCGGAATTCGTTTCTTTCCACGGTGGGAGCCGCGCCTGCTTAGGGGAGAAGTTCGCGCTCCTCGAGGCCCGAGTGGCGCTCTTTGTCCTGGTCAGCAGACTCTCATGGTTGCTGGATCCGGAATGGCCAGATCGTAAGACGCCGGTAAGTCGTGTTTCTAATTCTTTGAGGCTGGCTGTATCCTCGGGGGAAGCAAGAAAGGAATAGAGGCTGACTCGTAGTGTTTCAGGCCGGTCCGCTGTACCCACGAGCTCTCCGGCTAGTTTTCACTGAACGTAAGTGGAATTAATACTTAGGAAGCAATTCAGAGGGGTTCTCTTTTGCTTTTCCTTCTATTCTCTCTTTTTTCTTTTTTTTGTTTTTAGGAACAACGCAGTGTGTAGCTTCTACAGGATGGTTCGTTGAATAGCCTATCTTACGTACGAGAATCGCCGGAAAACCTCCGATGTTCAAAAATGGGCAAAGAAAAACTTCTCTTTTCTTCTCTCTTCTCGTGTTCTCCCGCTTTTTCTGAGTGTAGAAAAAATATGAATGGTAAGAGAAAGAGAGAGGCAAACAATGATCTGTGCTACTACGTGTCAAAGGAAATGTGCGCAAAAGTTCTCTGGTGCTTACATTTTTAATATCGAGATGTGGTGCTTGTGTTCCTTCGCCCCAGACTTGGACAATGCTTTTTGCCTGCCAAGAGACACTAAAGCCCAAGATACGCCACGCTATATTCCCAGGTTCTCCGTGGATGCGCTTCTTGGTGCGACTCATGCCCTGCCGAGCCGTCCGATGTGGTGCAAATTACTCCACTGTGTCGAGTCAGTCGAGGGAAGCTTCGAACGTTGACAAGTGGTGGAACAGTAACAACGGAAACAACAGGGGGATTCCTTTCATTATGGGCTTATGGTCTGCCGCGGGTCCACGCAGATCCAGTCATACAGGCAGAGATGGAACAGAATATCCTTTCATTCCAATCGTAATGCGATGTTACAAAACAATAGACTATCTGTTTTACAATATGCTCATAGGGCAACTTCCCTTAGTATCCCATTAGTTGCCTGCCCTAGCCTCGTTCAACGGCACCTTCGCATCTTCGATACCCTTTGGAATGTCCACCCAGATGTACAGTAAGCCCGCAACAAAAATAAGTAACACATTCGGGATCATGGGAAACCGTAGATTATGCGTATGATCTTGGATCACGCCCTGAACAAGGGGATTAATCCATCCAGTGGCAAGATCCAACGTAATCTCGAGACCAAAAAACTGTGCCTCCGACCCACAGGGGATGAGCGACGCAAATACAGTCCTGTTATAGGATCGCAGGGCGCTACTGGTACTCATGAAGAGGACCTGCTCCACCCAGAACTCGGCGGCATGCTTATATCCGATCGTGACGTGGTTGCTGATCCCAATGCATCCCCACAGAACACACAGAAAGTTGACGCTCAAGAAGAAATACGCCCAGCTTTTGATCGGGACACGGACATGCGGATAGAGAAACAAAAAGCTTAAGCTACCCATACAGGCAAAGATCACGTTGGTAAAAGACCAAACGTGATAGACGCCCGAGCCTCTTGCGATGCCGGTGACCTCAAGGAAGAGCGACTGAGTCAGGCCGAGGAAGTTGGAGTAGCCGGTGTTCCACAGGATCCAGCCAATGCAGAACTTGAATGCTTCAGGATAATGACGCGCAGACCCAATCATACGTATCCACCCTCTCACAGCCAGAAGCAAAAGATTCTGGCCCTTGGGCCGCTCTTGACCCGGCACCGAGGGGAGGAGAAATTGACCAATGCTCGCGAAGACAACTGCACGAAACGGTTCAGATACGAACTTAGGTGTGAAGTGGAACAAGACTTACTCGTAATGCAGCCGGCAATTGTAATGGCGAGGAGGTAACTGAAGTAGCCCACTTGCGCATACGACCCGATCCCGTAAACGAGGATGACACCAATGAGCAAGGAAACAATACCTCCGACGTTGCTTGCAACCAATGCCAGAACACTAACAGTGAAGCCCTTTTTCCATGTGCGCTTTGTGTCCGGATCTGCTGCTGGAGATGCAGAGTGCAAACCACCCACCGAGCGCATGAAGATTGGGATGTACGATGCCTCAATAACGGTATATACGCCTTGTACGGTAGTGAGCAAGCAATACAAGGTCGCGAGCGCATTGAGGTGGCTATAATCGGCCTTGGTTAAACCGGCAAATGGCAGCGCCAGCGCGCCAAATAAGAGAATTGAGCACAACATCATAGTTTTTCGATATCCTAGTGTCCAATGAGCGAGTCAGTGAGTGCTTCTCCTTGAGGCCTTGGTAAAACATATAGCGGGGATGCCCTTACGCGAGTAGTCCGCTACACCAGCAGTCATGATAGTGACAACCCCTTCCATTGCGCGACCAATCGAGCGAAGATATAGTCTGGTTTGGTCAGTGGCATTTTCCAAAAGATCAGATGAAAAGCATACACATAGCTGACATAATCAATTTCCCCTGCTCCGAACTTCACTGAGCATTTGATATGCCCTCGGCGAGCGCAGGGCTTGTCTGATCCCGGCTGATGGCCAACGGTATTTGCTGCAGACTGGATGGCCGCTGAGACATAATTGAAAGCCATTGAACTAGTTGGACCCGTCTTGTTTCAATCATCAGTAAAGGAGGTACTACACAGATCTCTTGGAATATCCTCACAGAAAAGCACAGAATCAGGTAAGCCCATAGTGCCTTCTTGGTACCGAGGGAGGCAACTTGCTGGCTGTTGATGGTAGCCTCGCTTGCGTACTCCTCATCAGAGCCAGCATTCTGTTCCTGGGCGCGGATGTCATCCTTATCCCGCTCTCCTCTCAGAATAGGATCTGTAGAAGGCATGTTCACATTAATATCATATAGAGTGTGAAATGGTGAGGGTTCACGGTGTCATCTACAGGCAAACTATAAAATTCGAGACCAAGGTGACTGGCCAGCCAATATATGAAAAATGTTTGTTTGATATAAGTAAAGGGCCAACAAAGCCTCATGTCTAATCAGATAAAACCGTACGAAAGAAATGAGAGCAAAAATCCCAGCCCAACTATAAGAGGCATACCGAGTGACAAGGTGTATGTGCGCAGGATTGAGCACATTTTCATGGGTACGATTTATTGTGGAGAATAATGACCCTTGTTATTATACCCTTCCTTTTCATGATGGAACTCCACTCGTGATACGAGGTTGAGGGTGACTAACTAGTTCAATGAGATTATTATTACCTATTTTTCTCTCTCTCATTAGTAAGTCGAATCTTTCACGACTTTCATATACTTAGGACGCGAACTGCTTTGTTCGGGTGAGGCGCGCGCATTGGTTTTTCGAGCATTTTCGGACATGATAAGTCCTGCCACCAGCCCACCGAACGAGCCAGCCTCGGTTGCGAAGGAGGGGAAGCCATCAAACGTTGAGACTGCGCCAGAGAAATCACCAGCAAATGCAGTCACACAACCGCCGCCTTACACGGCCTTCTCTCGCCCGAAGAGAGTGTTCATTCTCGCGGTGGTCACAGTGGCCGGCTTCTTGGGCCCATTGGCAGGAAATATCTACCTTCCTGCCTTACCTGTTTTAGGACATGAATTCCAAGTAAGCACTGCAGCCATCAATGCGACTGTTTCCGTGTTCATGGCGGTATTCGGGTTCGGTGTAAGTCTATCGACATAATCTCAGGTTCCCAGCGACAGTGGGCCTAACATTTACATAGCCCCTCTTTTGGTCAAGCTATGCGGATTGGAAGGGAAGAAGACCGTTGTACTTGATATCTTTAGTAGTATATATCATTGCAAATGTTTTGATGGCTGTTCTTCCGACGAGCTTTGGTGCTCTGGTGTTTCTGCGCATCGTCCAAGCATTCGGCTCATCAGCCGTAGTGTCAATGGGCGCCGGTACAGTCGCTGATGTATGCAGTCCCCCTTTCAGTCTGCCCACAAATTGGTTATACTCATCGGGTAGACAGATCACGGAACCCAAGCGACGTGCCCGGGCCATGTCATACTTCATGTTGGGTCCTCAGTGTGGTCCTATCTTGGGTCCGGTTCTGGGAGGAGCAATCGTTGGCCAAGCAAGCTGGAGATGGATTTTCGCATTCTTGGGTATGTCGCGCTCTTGCCTTTCTATGCTTGCAGTTCTGATACAAGCTTAGCAATCCTGGCGGCTGTGCTTTGGCTCATCATGCTTCTATTCCAGCCGGAGACTCTTCGAGCCCGAGTAGGCAACGGAAAGCCGTACAGTGATAAAGGTTGGGTATTATGGCCGCCCAGCCCATTCTCCTGCCTCGCCCCCGAGCCTGAGCGCGGCCCCCCTCCCCCGAAGCCTACGCTGAAAGGCTACTGGCGTCTCTTCAGCTATCCTCCCATCGGTATTGTCTCTGTCAATACCGCCATTCTCTATTCGTCATATTTTGGGATTGCGGTACAGCTTCCGACAGCGCTGGAGAATATTTATCACTGGGACTCTACCAAGGTCGGAGCTGGATACGTTGCCGTTGGTATTGCGATGGTGGTGGGCTCCATCGCTGGCGGTCGACTATCCGACTGGCGTCGAGCTCGCATGGTCAAGGCGCTCGGAGAAGATCAAGTCACCCCTGAGACTAGGCTTCGAGACCAGACTGGAGGCATCTTGCTCTGCGTCGCTGGTCTAGCAATGTTTGGCTGGTTTCTTGATCAGGCGATTCATCCGGCAGCAGTGCTGGTGTCAACATTTCTGGGTATGTCTGCCCTCTTTGACGCGTGTCACGGTCTGCAAAGAAAGAGAAGAGAGAAATCAAAACTAACGGCTATGATATGACCGCAGTGGGATTTGGAATGTCTTGGATTTTTGTCACGACTAATGCTTTCCTGACCGAGTGTGTCCGACAGCAGGCCGCCCAGGCCTTTGCCTTAGGAAACATGCTTCGGAGCCCTGCGGCGGCAGTTACTGCAGCGATCATTCATCCACTGACCGTGAGGATGGGATGGGGGTGGTGTTTTACAGGGCTGTCAATACTCAATTTCACTCTAGTCGGGTCAGCAATGGTCATCCTACGTGTTAAGTCGCCCGAGTGGAGAAGGAGAAGATCTGCCCAGATGGCAGGGAATTAGGGACGGGCAGTCTATGACCATGAAATAGACGCATAACTCCCAATAGCAAATTAGGATAAATTCATTCCTTCCAAGACTAGCATTCATATTGCAAAAACGAACGAAACGGCGATGTTCTCGTTTTACGAATACCTTTAGCTGTCATCTTCGACCAGCTGCCGAAGCGAGAGTTACATGCGCACGCCATCCCGTTTATTGATCACCCCATAGATAAGGCTTTAACGACAAAAGCCAACTCGTATCTCTTTTCTCCGCACTCAATTAACTTCGCCCTAAACTTGACAGGCCAGGTCTTTGTTGGAGAAGAACATGGAGAGTAATTGTGTGATAGCCACGAGGTATTGTTCATATCTGTTTAAGCCTTGGCGGAGGCCATTTGGGCCTTCAGCCAGGTTGCATGAATACCACCGTATTTCTTGTAGCGAAGTAGCTGCTGGCTGCCCACTCCGTCTTCTGGATTCTGTATCCGGAGTTTCCTATTTTCATTGTTGCTTACTGTCCTCGCCGTGCGCTCGCGGCCATGGAGAAAATCACCAATTCGACAGTGTTCTCTGCCGCCGGAGAGAGCAGCTCCGACCTTGGAACCGAAGATGAGAGAAGAAAAGCCCTACTCCAATCGTTCACGCCGGAAGAGGACAAGCAAATCCGGAGGAAGATTGACAGAAGGTTCTTGTTTTTGATTGGCATGATGTACATTATCAAAACTGTGCGTAACGAGCGTCATTCGTTTATGTGCGCAAAGTTCCTGTTTTAATACTCATGTTAATCTATCTTAGATTGATTATACCAATGCGGCCTCCGTCAAAGTGTTGCAAGTTGGAGAGGACCGCAATGTGCTAAACGAACTTAAGATGACATCGGACGAATACAATTGGGTCCAGTCGATTTATTTCGTTAGTTCGCCTTTCATCCCTTTACAAAACTCTGATTTGGCTATTCTCGGCTCTATCCACAGCTACCAGTAGCAGAATAAGGACGAAAAGTAACATGTTACAGATCAGCTACATTGTCTTCGAAGTCCCGAGCAATCTCTTACTGAAACGGCTCACGCCGCGCTTATGGCAGTCGCGAATCATGTTAACTTGGGGTATTGTCCTCGCCTGCCATGCAGCAGCAAAGAACAAGGAAACTCTCTGGGCGCTGCGCTTTCTCCTAGGGATGTGCGAAGCAGGCATGTTTCCAGGGATAGCGGCCCAGCTATGCGGCTGGTACCGCAGCGATGAGATGGGCAAGCCCATCATGTGGATGTTCGGCTTTCAGAACACGTCTGGAATTGTAGGTTCGCTATTAGCATATGGAATATCATATATGAACGGGTTATGTGGCATGAGCGCATGGCGATGGTTAGTATCAAGCCACACGGTACGCGCCTCTAACTAACTAGCCACAAGGGTCTATTTATTAGAAGGTCTATTCACCATCCTCTTTTCCGGAGTCATCTATCTTGTCCTACCGGACTGGCCTAAGTCCCCTAGGACCAGGAAGTGGCTTTCAGAGCGAGAGCAAGACTACGTCGAAGCACGACTATCCGAGAATGCACCCAAAACAGCAGACTCCGACTTTTCCAAAGAAGAAGTGATCGCATCATTGAAGGACCCGCGAACCTATGCCTTCATGTTATCCCAGGTTCTGGTTAATTTCTCAGGATACGCCCTAACATGGGAGCTTCCCACGATCACCACCAGTCTTGGATTTGCCGGACTTCCACGCAATCAGCTGCTAAATATCCCGCCATCTGCGGCGGCAGTTCTGGCTATTATCTTCTCAGGCTGGTTCCTGAAACAGGCATATCTGACTCGCCCTGCGTACACCATGTTTTGTATCATGGGGCCGATGCTTGTGTTTTTCATTTTGCTAACTGTCTTGGAATCCCGCGTCGGGATCTATATCTCTTGCGTCCTGGGCAATATGTTTTATTCGGTATATTTCATTCCGTTCTGGGCATGTAAGTTTCTCTTCTGCGCTCCGCGTCAACTCCCTTTTTCTATAGCCCGACGTACTAACCCTGACATAGGGCGAACATCCTCCCTGAAAGGCACTACCGGTGCCGCATTCACGTTGGCTTTCCAGTCATGTGTCGGTCAAGTTGGTGGCGTTATCGGACCGCAACTGTTTCAGTCCAAGTTTGCATACAATGGATACAAAACACCGTTTGGAATCTGTGCCGGTGTAATTGGGGCAGCCTGTCTAGCGAACCTATGGACCTGGTGGTTGACAAGGAATGTCGAGTGGGATGTGCGTAGAATCCGTCGGTTAAGAATTAAGGAGGAGAAGCAGGGCCGTATATATGCCGAGGACGATGTAAAGGTTTACCAGGAGCGGCAGTTCTACAAAGGTGTTGCAAAGAAGGGATCAGAGACGAATGCGGCTGAGGCAGTATAAAGTAGGAGATGTTGCGGTAGGATACCAATCAATGAAGAGACTGCCATGGTCACAATGTCGGAATTATGATCTGTATCCACATATTTCTGAAACTTTAGCAGCCGCAAGCTTTAATTCAAGGAAATCGAAGACCCTGGAAAATCCGGCTATCAGTAGAGCGACTTATGCAAGCTAACTGATGATGTGATAGAAGTGGGGGAGAAGCTAATGAATGCCGTGCTGAACTTCCTACTTTGACTGCCGGTATTGAAGGCTAGTACGTTATGGAATAGTACTTCGGATGAAGTCCGCAGATGTAGCTGCAGTAGTATAGACGTGCTTTGATCCTTGTAGCACGTCAACCGGAGACTATCCTGCTTCTGTACTTGCGTTTGATAGGTGCTGTTAGCGTAGGGAATGGACGGAAAAGTGTAATAGTTTAATTCAACCAGGCGTATGCCGCTAGAAAATGTAGCATGCTTCCTAGTAAACAAGTATAAAGTCCTAGGTTTGGCCGGATTTCCATATGTTCGACATCCCCTTGTCCACCGAGCTTCTTTAGTGTACGTACAAGAATGAGAGATACGAAAGACAATGTCGTCAGTGAGGAAAGCTCCGTCAATGGCGACAGGAAGGATAATACCCTCCACTATGCAAGTCGTGGCCTGGCACTCAGCGATGAGAGCGCTGGTACTGACAATATTGCGGGATTCGATGCCGAGTGGATGAGGGCACGAACCTTCCTAACTGCTGAGGAAGAGAAAAAGCTCTTGCGTCGGGTGGATTGGCACATTATGCCGCTTTGTGCGATAATGTTCCTGCTGAAGAATATAGATTCCGAGAATGTACGAGAGGATTCATTTGTTCAACGAAGGTAATGCTGACCTGCTTTACTTAGGTCGCGAATGCCAAGATCATGAATAAGGGAACAGAAAGAAATATCTTGACCCAGCTCGGCATGACCACTGATCAATATAATCTCGTTACGGTTCTTTATTACGTAGGTATCGATTGGCATTCTTCCTGGGCTTTTGTTGACATCTTTAGATTCCATATATTGTTGCGGAAACCCCGTCAAACCTGTTATTCAAACGATTGCTTCCGTCCAGGTGGCAGTCTCGGATCATGGTAGGCACTTAATTAGGATTGCTTCATGATGTGAATACTCACAACAGCAGATTAGTTGGGGAATTGCCCTCGCCTGTCATACAGCAGTCAAGAATAAAGAGGGACTGTACGCGGTGCGCTTCCTCCTGGGCTTGGTAGGACCCCTAGTGATTTGACTCGGTCATGTAGATGACTAACATCGTGGTCTAGTTCGAAGCTGGATTGTTCCCAGGAGTTATCCTGCAATTGTGCTACTGGTATAGGCCTGATGAGATGTCGCTAAGGTTGCTTTACTTTTGTAAGTGAGCGCCGACCTGTCGATGTATTTGCAGTACTAACAGGACAAGATATCCTTGGAAACTTCTCTGGAATTATCAGCGGCGTACTAGCCTACGCATTTGATACAGTATCCGGGTCTCATGGACTATCAGGTTGGCAATGGTGCGTCTTCGTTGTTTCTGCGAGGTATTCGTTACTGATGCCGAGATGTTCAGGCTCTTTTTAACAGAGGGTATTATCACCGTCGCATTCGGCATAGTACTGATATTCATATTTCCTGACTGTATGCATATGATGCCCTACCCGGAGACGATAAATAGCGAGACTAACCATGAGGGTACAGTCCCTCCTCAAGCCAAATGGCTTACGGACAAAGAGAAGGCGTTCATCCAGGCCCGATTACCACGCAATGCACCTCGAGCCGAAGAGATTAACTTCAACTTCCGTGAAATCCTCGATTCACTGCGAGACCGCCGTCTGTGGCTTTTCACCCTGATATGGGCCTTCTTTACCGTGGGAACGCACGGTCTGCGATTTTACCAACCGACCGTGATCGCCAACCTAGGATTCACGTATGTCCCCTGACTTTCTATAGTTATTCTAAACTGAACAAAACTAGCGACATTGCAACATCCCAGCTTCTCAACATTCCTACCTCCGTCCTAACCGTCATCTGCATCGGCGTGTTTGGTATTTGGGCTGACAGCTCCCGTCTTCCCCGACCTCTTTACCCTCTGTCTTTTCTAGTCGTCATTCTAGCCTGTTACGGTGTTCTCTACAGCTTCCCCAGCAACGGCGCCGTCTATGCCGTGACTGTCATTGCGAATGCACTAGGAAGTGCATGGTTCCCACTGATGTGGCCGTGGCGTGTACAAACCACGAGCCGTGCGACTGGCTCTGCCTTCTCGATCGGTTTTGTGAATAGCTACGGTCAGATTGGGGGTGCTATCGGGCCGCAGATCTTCCAAAGCAAGTATGCGCCGCATTACACGGTGCCATTTGCCGTTACGATGGGGTTGATAGCGGCTTGTATTTTGACTACCCTTGTCACTTGGTGGATAACCAGGGACACGGAGAGAGCGACAAGGAAGTTGAAGCTGGCTAGGCTGGAAGCCATGAAGAGAGGGGAGGCAGTTTTGGATGACGTTGTTGATAACGACTTGGCGAAGAATAGAGACGTGCAGAGGTCAGGAGTATAATCGTCTGTCGGCAAATTCAACGATTGTCCAGTGAAGCAATAGCTCCTTGATTACAGCACGTTTGTCTTTTGTATAAGATCAGCTTTAAACCTAGTCCAAAGTAAGGCTCATATATGTGAACAGCGTGTCTTTGCCCTCATTCTCACCCTACAGTAGGTATTAGTAGATATGAATGGAATACCAGGGTCTCGTTTTTGCAAACGTATAGGGAATCTACAAATATCGGAAAATATGCAGTCATAGGAACAACCTCCGTGGATTAAAGAATTGGGGGCAGGAAAGTCCGTAGATGTTGAAATGTTGTATGGAATGTTGGTGATATGTTTTGGTGGAAGTACCAGCAGGCTGGTCGATGACGTCACATTCCCCGGATTCCCCAAAACCGCCAGTGAACGGGACAAGTGTTAATCCGGTCATGAAATCAGGTGCCAAATTGACCGCTTGTTTGTCTTCATTTTCTCATGCGAAATGCACCCACACACCAACACACTCTCGCTTCATGAATTAAATTTCTTCCCTGAGTTTGATGTCCCCTCCATCCCGCAGAAAGTCTTTACGCTTGAGGCTGTACCAATGGCTCTGGCGACTTCGGAATCTCAGCACACCCTTGCGGCTCCGAGGCAGCCTGGTCCGACTACGCCGATTCCATGAAAGCCCCCTTCTCGCTCTGATACGCCTATTGATTCCATTTCCAAGCTGGAAATTTCCCGTTCCAGGCCCGGCTGCACCCATTGATATTCTCGGTAATGTGGAATTGGAAGAAAATAAGTTAGAATACTTGGACGACCTACGGAGTATCCCACTATGGCGTGCGCGAGACACCCCCATACGGTCCCTCTACCGAATGTATGAAGCAACGATGTCCGGTATGTACGAGGCGCTTGGCCCCGAAACGGAATACTTCTGGTATCAGCGGAACTGGTCGTTGCGGGGTATTCGCGACCCACGGGATGCCGATCCGGTGCGATATGCCATTCTAGCATGTCTGGTGGAAGAACTCGTGGTTGCATTCAACTGGCGGTTGAGTTTAGGTCTGCGTCGGGACCGCAACCATATTATACGAGAGACAGGAAAGGATTCTTTCCCTCCGTATGCGCCCCTGTCGGGGCCGATTTGGACGAGTTCGGTGCCGGCACTTTCCCCTGAACACCTCGATCGGTTTCCCCCCGAATATGTTTCCGACGACAGCAAGCTTGTGCTGGAGGCAGATGGATTGAACAAAGTCTTTGCTCGCCGAAATATCGTCACGAATGTTGGCTGGCTTTACACCATCTGAATCAGCCGCCTTCAAGCCTACACCCCAGATATTAGGACTGGTCATGGGATAGATTCTGTGGACGCCTTACCGTATGAGCTTCCCCTGAGGCCGCCAACCCTTGGCTACGGGGACACCAAGGTAAGGCCACGTGCCACATCTGGTCTGATCATGGCCATCGATCTTCGTAGGATCAGCAGAAAACTTCCTCATTGTATTTTGCCTTGTAAGCGGCCGACACGCGTTGCATCGTCTCGCGATCCGGGACCACGTCGAAGCCGTTGATGTTTAATGTGCGATAATATTCCATGTCCAGCTTCCCCCCTTTGTCGTTCTTCAAGAGGTTCAGCATCGCCAGCGCATCAGATAAATCTAGTTCAGCCTTGCGGCCCCGGTCTGCCGCGTAAATGCGTCGCAATTTCCGTTCCAGCGCCCATTCGACCGGTGCGGACAGAACGGTAATCTGATTCCCGGACCAAAGTACAATATTCTGCTTCAAGGCCAGGTCCATCAGCAAGTGCCTCGCTTGCTTGGTCACGAACAGGGCAACATCCTCATTCGCCCAGTTTTGCGGGTATCCCAATTCGTCCGCTACCTGCACAATTGCCTCCCGCAGCGATTGTTTGATGTCATCGTCATTCGCCCAGTCCGGCTCCAGCAGGTAGTCCAGGTCCTTCGTGGTTTGTCGGTTCTTGAGATGCGCCACGGCGAAAAACCCTCCGGCCGCAATGACTTTGATGGGTGCGAAAGCGACGATGATCGGGATCGCTGCCAACTTGGAATCCAATAATCTCAGACCTGGCGTCGGGTTAGGGAACACACACTTCCATTGTATTGGGCAAGGGTGCTGATCTCTTGCCTTTGTAGAAGTCTTCGGCTCCTAGATACTGTTTCCTCCTCTGCATGGTTAGAAGCAATTTCGTTTCGCATTGTCGGGACGGGGGTTTGGATGCTTAGTTATTGTGCCGGCCGCAGTGGAGTCTCCGCGGATTGCCACGGTGAAGGATGTTGTGTTGGCGACTGCTGCTGACGCACTGCTGCCCATCTCGTCCGCAGTCAACTTCCCGCGGGGCATTACTGATCCGTACTATAGGCAGACAAAGGACTCCACGCTCCCTCGTGTCGCGCTCAGGAGTGGCGCAAAGTATGCCATGTGGGGATCAAACCCAAACGGCGAAGCTTTGGATGCCAATCCCTCTCAGAATTGTCGTAACAGGGAACACTCCGATTCATCCTTCGCGTGTTGACCAGTCAGTCACCTCGGCTTTGCCTTCCTGCCTATCGGTACGAGCGGGACGCTCGCCTTTCATCGTGGAAGGGGTTTGCGAAGGTGCCGACTTGGCAATGATGCTCAAGCCCGAGTGTACCATTGGAAAGGGCAGTGAATCGGAAGACTCCACGCGTTAGAATGAGATGTGTTGTCCGACGATGTTCTGGTCGTTGGTCGGTACAGATTTGTAGGATCAAGGGGGAACGGCATCCGAGAAGTTTTCCTCCTGGTGCCATCCGACGATTGGGCCGTGTAGACATGCATGTAATGTATAGAACCGCATCAGGCAATCCCATTAGCAACCCGGCCAGCGAATAGAACGCTTGCACGTAACCTCTTGCCAAGGGATTCCCGGCGGGACAAAGACGATCTAGACTCCTGGTGGCTGATTCTTCTCGTCTCCCTACCCTCTCCGAGGTTCCTGTTATCTGTCCTTGGTGGAGAGAGGTTACTAATCACATCGTGTTAGGCCCGTTCGAATTATATGCGTCCAAACAATAGCTTCAAGCGATGTTTTCTTCTGTACTCTACAAACCTGCCAATTCTGTCTCATACTTTCTTCATGTGTGACCCCCATGGTCGGTCCAACCGTCGCCACTGGAGCAGTGGCAGTGGCCTCCAGCAAGGGTGTCTGGTCGCCAATCGACAGTAGTCTTTCAGTTTCAACCCCCGTGTCTAGTTCCCTCGGCGCAAGTCCTCTCCGGGATCTTCACGCGCATTGCGGCCCTATCATTCATGGGTACGAAGCAATGGTCAAATCTGCGACTCCATGTCCGTGAGGAGACAGGCCATTTCTGCCGTCAGACCAGGTCGAAACTTGCTTTTCTGCAAGGTTCAGGCTGTATTAAACATGAACTACCATCTCCTCGCCAATGCGATCGAAACAGCCAAAGACCAGCCTCGTGCGTGAGGAAGAACCACGACCACGACATGATCTCATCCAGATCTGACCAATTCAGTACTAGCTGTCAGGTACAGAAACTCTCCGCGTGGCGTTGTCTCCACTAGATACAAATATAAACTACGGTTCATGTGCCAGGGATGATTGTCCCCGTACTTTTCACTCACCGGCAGGGGGGCCGAAGCTGTCTGAGACTTCCGCATTAAGAGCCACCAATGTGGTCGTCCACGTAGGGACTCGGAAGCTTGAGAGTAGTTTGTTTACTCCTGCACTGGTCTTCTTTTGATTGTCCTTGTTGTGGTGATCATTGATTCCCCTTCAGAAGGCCTATTTTTATGGGAATGGAAAATTTAACTTCGACCCAAAGTGGATAATGGACCTCGGCACATGGCAGGAGAATGAGGGCTAGAACGAGAAGAGACGATTAATGATCGATGGCATCGACCCACGCAGACCCTAAACAGAGTGGACATTCGGTCTCGATCGGTTCAGTGGAGGTGTTGATCCTCCATTCCCGGCGTCATGACGTCAAATTGGGCTCTACGATTGGACGTTCTGGAGCTCAGGGTTTTCTGGTTGCATTTCGTGACCTCCGAACCTAATTGGCAGGGGTCCAGGGGCTGCCCACGGCTCCGTTCCCGCCTTCTCACACTTCCGACCTACATTCCTCGTGTCCTTTCTCCGACTTGCACGATCCAGAACCCGCATGTCGTGCAGAAAATGCCCGATCCCAAGTCCTCGGATGCTGCCGACAACAGTAGCGGCAGCCAACAGGGTCGTCGATTGAAGCTCCCGGCCTGGTTGGACCACTTCAATGTGCGCGACTTGAAGGTACTCTTTCGCTGCTGGGCCGCGGCCTGGGTGGCCTCGCTGCTGATATTCATCGGGCCAGCCTTACACCAGATCGGCATCGCGACCTTCTTCGGGGCGTTGGTGCTATACATCGTGCCCCCAGCAGGAATCCTGTTCGTCTACTTGCTGGCAGCGCTGTCGCTCCTCTTTGGCATGTGTCTCGCGTGGGCCTGGGGCCTCCTCACTATGAAAGCCGCCTTAGCGGCACGACCAGACGCACAAACGAAGGCGATGGTACAGGCATTGCAACAGCAAGCGGTCGCGATCGGCAATCAAACTGGCACGAATCCAGCCGCAGAGGCGAAAATCCTCGTGTACGATGGCTTCATGCTCGATGCCCGCGTCACTGTTGTCTTCTACGTCATGATCTGTGCTTTCGTCTATTTTATGTCTCGTGTTCGTGTCGCCAATCCGAAATTTGCCTTGGCGCAGATCTTCGGCATCATCATCGCAGACCTCTTTCTACTCTTCGGGCCCAGTTTACCATCCTTCACCGCTTCCTTGCCGGAGGTTCTCATTAAACCAGGCGCCATCGGCATTGGCCTGGGCTTTGCCTGTTGTTTGGTCTTCTTTCCGCAGTCGACATCGTTTGTGACCCTCACGCAAATGGAGCAACTCGTCCGTCTGGGAGAAACCCCGCTGAAGTACACCCGGCAAAAGTTTGCAGGTCAATCCCTCGATCTGCAGCAGCTGACGGCGACCAAAGCGAAAATCATCGGAGCATTCAAAGCCATGCAACCGTCATTGGCCTTTCTGCCCCTGGACTTCTCCCGTGGCCGCTGGAGCTCAGATGACATAAAAACGCTACAAGAGCCCCTGCGACAGGCCATTCTGTCCGCCGTGTCATTGATGGACTACCACATTACCCTCCTAAGAGCTGATCGAAAGCTCCAAGAAATCAAGCCACTCTCTCAACAGGGATCTGACAAAAGCGACGTGCAGGAAAAACGAGCCCACGAGGTCGGACAGTATCAGCTACAGGAGAGCGCAGATGTACTACAAGCATTGAACAGTCCCGAGCACGGGGCTTCTCGCGCCCGCACACTCGACGCATTGAAAAGATCAACCACTGAACTGCTTGAATTGTGCTCGGAAACGAGCGAACTCATTGTGCAGTGTCTTCACGCGGTCAATTCTAGCCGATGGTTTCGTCGAGCCGCATCGCGAAACCACCTGGATGAGCTTGTGACGAGAGCGGGTAGCGTATTGCAGACGTTACAGTCAACCCGATCATCATGTGCAACGGAGACCACTGAAGCGCTTCTTGATAGTCATGCTGATTTATTTGATGAAAATGGTCAGCTGAAATCGGCCGAAAGTTTAGGACCCCATGCCCTCCGCGGGATAATACTTGGAATGGTAATGGAGGAACGCATCCTCGGCACCGCAGAGACTTTAGAACGGCTCCTGGCCCAGGTCCACCGCTTAATGCAAGCGCGCACTAAGGAACGCATCTGGATTCCCTCGGGCCTGCGCTACGCTTTCCGCTGGCTGGTCAACCCACGCCAAAAGGCGCCCGCAGAAGATCTCGCCGCGGCCCCTGCGACCGACCCTGACGATGCTGAAGAGCAAGCCAAAGAGGCGCATCGACGGCTAAAGGTCAGCCGCGGCTACGGAAGGCCTATCCCACGAGGCCTGTTGGCGAGAGCGCTTACCGGCTTTTATCACTGGTTCACGAATCCCGGCGGAATGTATGCACTGCGCATGGTCGTCGTCACGATCGCGACGGCAATACCTGCTTCGATTCCGCATAGCGCTGGGTTCTACTACCGGGAGAAAGGTATCTGGGCTCTGATCACCGCCCAGACCACCTTGCTTGTGTACATGGGCGATTTCACCGTATCGCTCGTTGGTCGCACGATTGGCACGGTCGTCGGGGGTGTGATGGGCATGGTCGCCTGGTACATTGGGGCTGGCAATGGGCCCGGGAATGCCTATGGCCTGTCTGCAATTACGGCGGCGATGACCGCCATATTGATGTGGTGGCGTTTGTTCCTGCCTCCAATCTTCACCATGGCGGCCATCATGGGTGGCGCCACATTCATCTTGGTCGTCGGCTTCAGTTACGACGACACGCACACATGGCAGTATGGTTTACCGGGACACGGCTACGAAGCATTTTGGAAGCGACTCGTCACGGTGCTGCTAGGCTTCGCTGCCGCATTCATCGTCCAGATATTTCCCCGTCCGCCCTCTGCAACACGACATATTTGCAAGACATTATCCAACACCATCCGCACGCTCTCTGATCACTATGCTCTCTTACTATCTCACTGGGGTCGGCCAGAAGCCAATAGCCCCATAGGCGCTGTAGCCGAGAAGATCGCCGTCGACGTCGCAGAAACCCTCCTCTCCATCCAAGGCTCCATCGGCCTCCTAAAATTTGAAATGACACTCGGTCCGTTCCACCGAGAAGCATTGGCAAACATGCACGTCCTCTGCCAGGACATGAACCAAGCCCTCGGTCGATTACTCATTCTATCCACCAGTCTCCCACAGCACTTCCAGGAACGATTTGCCCAGAACGTGGGCCTGCTCAACGACCATCACATTGGCGATATCATGGCAGTATTGAGTGTCATCGAACAGGCACTGAAATCCGGCCTTCCTCTGCCGGAACGCTTGCCAACGCCGTTGGTGAAGCGGTGTTTCGAACAGTGGTATGCGCAGCACCGTGCTGCAGAGTTGAGCACGACCCTGGTGCGCGATGAGAATTACCGGCGGTACTGTGTGGCCATCAGTTCGTATTTAAAGTTTTTATCGGCTGTTGATGACATGGTGTTGGTATTGAAGGGTACTTTGGGAGAGTCCCACTTGATTGAGCGGTGGCAGGGTGAGGCGCTGGTTTGAATGCCCCCACTCCTGTGCTCACCAGCTGCCCTCTCCATCTACATGCTATGTGATTACATAGTTCCGACATAGATTCCAACGAGTTGCACCGCTGCTGTTCAAATATACCCCTGGCGACCGTTAATCCGTTCCTTGGAATGTTGTATATAATCAGAAGCGGAGAGATAATCATCATTCTACCGATCATCGGCCATGAAGACCAGATATAACAGATATCCAAGCTCATTGACCTCATTGAGCCACGGGTGCAGGTGGAAATGGCCACAATTCTACCGCCTCTTCCGGTGACATTTCCTCACGCACAGCTTCGATATACACGTTAAATAAATTCCTATTCACCTCATTCGTAGCGTCCCATCTATTATTCGGTACCCATCCGGCATCCTCCGTATAAAGCCTGTTCTTCACAATGTCCCACAGATAAAGTATGTCATTGTATTGTTCCTCCTGCTCTACATGGCTCTCCAACTCCCGTTCCGTGAATCCAGACGGACAAATACCCGGCAATGCGAGGGCATCCCAACCTCGCGAAAGTCGGATCAAAGCATTCCGCAACGGAACCAAACTTCCACAGTCAGGAAGCGAGCAAGGGGTAAACGGCTCCCAAAGCCTCCGATCCAGGCTCATTCCATTATACGCTGGTTCGTTAAACCTCCGACAAGAGATTTCATAGTATTTCGACAGCGACGCCAAAGTCTTGTCTCTTTTTGCGTCTTCCTGTTGCTCAGGAGACAATGCTTCGAAATCATCTGGTAAGCGTGGCATCTGGACTCCTGCGATATAGTTCTTGGGTGGTCTAAGGAACTCTGGGAACCGCGCTTGGGTGAATAAAGGTGCAGATTGTGTCGACTGCCAGTCTATTATGCCTTGGATTGTGGTTGGGTTATCTGGGGCGACCAAGATGTTGTGAAGGTGGAGGTCTGTGTGCCAGAGGACTGGGGGTGATACTTCTAAGACTTCTGGGTTGGATGAGAGGATTGGGAGGGTTTCGATCATCTTGTGGAGTAGACTGATGTATTCATCCATGGATTGGGCTCTGCCGAAACGGTTGAGGTGTTCTTGTACTTCGACTCTAGAGCTTGCGATATGAGCCAGTGCTCGTTGTGGGTTTGAAAGTGCGAAATTTAATAGTGAAGACCCTTGATGTGTCAGCAGCAGAATCATTCATAGAAGGCCAGGCACATACATGGACCTGTATACTGCTTTTCATCAGATGTTCCGGATATCCCACGCCATTCGTTTCGATGGCAGGACGGACCAACGCAAAACAAGCCATCGGGGTCTAAATCAGCAGGTAGAGGATGATATTGAAAATCGCGCGGTAGCGAGCGTAGCGAGTCACGTAGGTAGAGACTCCCATATGCTGGTAAGACCATCTTTCTGAGCTCGGTCTCCATCCGTATAATCTGGCTTATTATCTCGTATCGCTCTGGCATATTCATCCCATCCCACTTCCTGCCGAGTGCGACACCCGGAAACTTTTCCATGATGATGTACTCTGCACCTACAGAGTTCGTGGGGTCTGAGTTCCAAGCAAAGACCTCTGGGACTGGTATAGATGTACGAGACCGTACTATCAACATCCAAATCAGTATACGATCTGCAAATAGAGGAGGTATGTAAACATACAGAAGTTCAAGGTAGCTACTTCGGAAGCTGTGGTCAGCGAGGGCGGTCCAGCATTCGGACAAGGGACCTTTGCTACCACCTCGTGGCCGTCATCCATCGTAAGGAGGAAAGCTTTGTTAAAGTTCCCCTCTACCTTTACAAGGTCCATGCATCTTGTTGAATCGCTGAATACCGATGCTGCCTTGGAGCAAAGATTATCCACATGAAACTTGACATATCGCTGTGCGAGTTGCTGCTCCTCATCTATTAGCCATCGACCTGACGTGTATTTGAACAGGTCTTCTGGGTTAGCCCTCGTGGACACTGATAGCAGTTCATTGATTAGTGGCGTAGCGCTTGGGCTGTGGGCCATCGACAGGAGGAGAGACGGACCAGTCCTTTGTACCCTGGGTGCTCTGATAGGTGCTTTCTGACGGAGTGTAATTCCGCTGGTCCTGAGGTGAGCAATATTTAGAGACGGAATAGGAGAGCTAAATCGCCTCATTCTATCTGCCTGTACGGAGGCAACTCTTCTAAAGAATTACCACGAGGTTAGCTGTGCGACGTGGCTGGATGCGGTTTCTACTATGGTGACGCTGTAGAAATCCTGTTCCTCACAGGAAAGCAGGTAGCATAGCTCAACTCATGAATTCTTTGACAATCGGTCCGTTAATACCAGCTAGATCATGGCTGAAAGAGTCGTTGAAACAAGTTGTTGTTCAAACAAGGAGAAGCTCCTTGGGTGTGGTCCGTGCACCTGCTGTCTATTGGAGCATCCGATCAGTTTCTGATTCCAATACTTAAAGTTAAAGGTAGACGTATTCATTGCATTCAAACTCGCTCTTGTTCGACGAATCATGATAGGAGTTTAGTCTAACAAGATCCCACTTCAGTAGACTGCGGTACAGACCTGACCTGTATAGTTACAAGCGAATGATATTCAGCAATATCGAAGCAGGGGAATTCGGAATCCCTCGCACTGAATATCGTTTAGAACGAATGTTATAGTCTGTTTGTATACTATCTAGATACATCTAGAGCACCGGCCATCGCTCTGTCATTACATACCCCTGCAAAAGCCCTGTCATCGCCACCATGTATTCTCATGGGCCCCGGCCTCATGAGAGCAACCCTTTGTCATTGAGCATAAGGGCTATCGTCATGGTGCAGAGCACCACTGCCACATGTCACACTCCCGTCACCAGGTCACCAAAAGGAAACCCAATGACTCGCATAGCCTCTCAAGGAGAGGTGGAAGACATACTACAGCGCCGTTCGCTAGTGCCAAGCCAACCTCGACAATCCGAGATTGGAATGAGTGAGTGATCACACACCCAACCCCAAACTCAGCCACCACGCGAGCACCCCACGATCCCGTAGGTTCACCGATGGATTCCCTAAAACTAGCCCCTGTTGTTCTTGGGACACACTGACCGACAATGCACGGTCCACAATAAACATCGAACAACGGCAGCATCGAGAACCCGACTGGTCAAGGTCCCTCCCGCAATATCCGCAATACCCTCCTTTCTTCCCACCGAACCCTTTCCACCCGCTCCATGCGAAGCCAACGTAACCAACGTTAACCCCCACAGGCACCAAATTGCCACTAGGGGGTATGCTAGACAGGGATATGCCCCGGATTCCTGGGCCCTGGGACCGGGAAAGGTCCTTGTCTTTTGTTTCTACCCCGGACTCGAGCCATGGGCGGGAGTGGTAGTGATTGAGACGTCATGTTTGGTGACTGCTTATCCTATATAAGTTAATCCGTTGAGTTTCTAGTGTCTTTATCATCTACATCATAATACCAATATATTCGGTTTCATTGACGAGTTGACAACATTTCCAAACCATGTACGGTGTGAAGGAAACCAAAAACCACAAACCGGTCCTCCCCTACATTTCCCCGGACCAAGTGTCCAAACGGAACGGAGTGGATAACCCTGAGATTTGTAAGTTAGCTACAACTACTCCGTACAGCAATTGCCTTTGAAGCGGAAGTACAACAGAACTAACATAAGCAGGGCTGGTGATTGATGGCATCGTCTACGACTGCACATCCTTTCTATCAAGACATCCTGGCGGCGAGGCTGTGTTGAGACGGTTCGCTGGGTTTGACTGCTCATGTATGTTTCGCTTGGTTAGCACTGTCACCATGTTTAAGATACAGTAAGAGTGAGAGCTAATGCTGCAAACAGGGCAGTACCACGCTATCCATGGAGAACGGCGGAAAGTCTTCGCAAACAAATCACTAGAGAAACTAAGAGTTGGATGGACGGAGGGGGTCAGCAATCCGTATTCTAAACCAGAATGGGTTGAATAGCTTCTACATTATAATAATATAATCAATCATTTTTATCTCACAAACTATTTGTGTAATAGAAGTCGTTATTACGTTCAGTAAACAGATCTCATGGATGAGAGAAAGAATCAATATTCCTGCTCCGCCAATCTTGGAAACGTAGTCGAGAAATCCAAGGCATCACGCACAAAGATATCCCAGTCATAGCTATAGTTTAATGAACCCGGGTCCATCGGATTAAGCAGCGTATCTGCAGACCATGTATCCTCCGTACCGGCACCCCCAAGTGGCGAAGCAGACCCATTCAGCTGCTCTTCGGCCGGAGGACCATTTGTCTTACCTTGATTCGATCCTACAGATTCGTTCAGCAAAGCCGCATCTTGTTCTTTCCGCTTCTGAGATAACCGGACCAGGAAGTCGATGTTTTTGTATGCTTTTCGCGCTTTTTGTGTCGCGAAGTGGTCGGCTGCTTTTTTCAACGTAGCGAGTGAATCCTTAACGTGGACGAGTGATTTCCGCGTATCCATCGCGAGGAGAATACAGGTGAACTGAAAGGGAACGTTACTGACGTGCCACCAAGGACAGCTGGCATCGATGGATCGGGACGACGCGGCGAGGCCTCGGCAGCCCAATTGAATGACCCGGTCGACGACGGATGTCATATTGGCGGTGGAGTTCAGTATTTGCAGACGGCGATAGATAGTAAAAGCAAGCACACTCTGAGAGAGGATAACAGCATCGGACTCAAATTCGAAGCCTTCCAGCCGGACAAGCGACTCTTCCAACTCCAACACTTCGACCGTCTGGTCGGGGTCTAACTTTTCCGATAACTGGAACAACGAGATGAGGTCACTTGTAGGATCCCCGGCTTTTGGCGTAGGAGGCGGGCATTGCGCCCCTCGGATGACGACCTGCGATCGACCGTACTCGAAAGAAATCCACGTATTGAGTAACTTGGCAATCCAGAACAGCCGTCGCCTACATTCCACGTTTTCCGGCTGGCCACCGGGGTTAATCTCCGGATAGACCAGTGAGCCACGAGTGGACTCACGATGTAATCCAGCAGCCTCGACAATATGCATGGTTGTGCACGACGCTATCCACGCGGCGTGCGGCGTGCTGTGGCATCTCAAATACATGGTGCGTAGCAGCCAGCCCTCGACGTCGTGGACGCCCGGGCTGACAACCAGCGTACTGGTCGTCTCGAGGATATCTTTCGCACAGTCAATCAAATGTCGCTCTTGCTCACTTGCTTTGGACCGCGACGAGAACAGCGATCCCAGCGCTCCCACCCCGCACAGAACAGCGTCGTACTCGTTTGACGCACAGGGATCCTCCCATCTCCTCCCCGCCTGCCCGGCCACAACTTCCAGATCCAAGAACCCATACACGGGGTGAATCTTCTCGACGTAAACCGCAAACAAATGCTGCCACGCCGCCTGCGACAAAATCCAGGTAATGCTCTTTTCCGAACGATGCGGACTCCGGCGGACACCTAAGTTCCACCCGGAGCCGTGCTGCATCGAAGGCGCATGGTCGGGGCTGAGTTTAAGGCCCAGTAACTGTGGAAAGAGGACGCCGGAGTTGGCTTCCATTGACTTCTCCTCGGTTGGTCGACGACTACTGGGTTCCAGAGCGGTAGACGAGGGTGCTGGACCGGGTGACGGCAGTGTAACGGGTGGCGAGAATGTTTGCCCGGCGGCTACGGTCGTGAGTCGCCTTTTGCGAGGAGGCGGCTCATAGCAGCAGCGGTAATCATATCGACTGCAGGATTCGCATGGAGTTTGGCCGTCGCATTTGCGTTTCCGGATCTTGCATGCCTCGCAGGCGAGTCGGGTGCGGCGGCGTCGGGTTTGTGGGGGTTGCTCTGGGGGAGGGTTGGTGTCCATTGTATACGATGTACTGGCCTTGAAGTCACCGAGTCTACCTTTCCTTCTCGTCTATGACTGCTGGACTAAAGCCATAGAGCGTGCGAGTCGACAAGATGCGTAACCACGAAAGAACAGGGTAGGGTTGGTCAGGTCAGACGTGTAAAAAGTACGGGCGGACCCACAGGTTATAACAAGGATCAATGCGGGGAAGGCAAGTTTATTTCTTTGTTTGCCCCTCCTTTTCTGCCCCGGATATATGGTCAAACTGGAGGCTGTTGGCAGTGCCGAAGGATCATTAGCATTCAAACTAGGCCGGAATGACGACGCTCGCTATTAAAGCAATACGAGGGGGAAGTCCAGACCGCCCGTTTGCTCGGTACCCTCGGAACGATGGAACCTGCATGAACCCTTTCTCCTTTCGAGTAGTGGGGACGCCAGTAGTAGTAGGGGGGTGGATTGTACGTCACGGTGCAGCGCGAGTCAGGGCTTTACAGAATCATGTGCACGAGCTGCTACGGAATGGAGCTTATGAATACTATACATCGCTGGTCTCAATTTTAGCGAAAGTAGAAAATAACCCACAGCAGTATCGCGATAAAAGACAAAAAGAGAGAAAGACAAAAATTATACACGAAATCATGAAGCAAGCCCTTTCCCGTCTGTGGGCAGGCAAGTTACGATCGCCCCAAGAACCTCTTGATGGCCTGTGCGGTTCCCTCCAGGTCCTCAAATACATGCCAATGACCCACGTCCTTGAGCAATTCCACCTGCGAATGGGGTATCTTGCTTCGGTAACCTTGGGCTAGCTTCACTGGCGAAATCGCATCTTCCTGTCCGGCGACAATCAAAGTCGACATTCGCAGATTCTCCACGGTGATCACTGTACCCCTCGACCTCGCAAGCGCGATGCATCCCTTGGCATAGCCCTCTGGGTGAGTAGACAGCAGGGATTGGCGCACCGCGGAAAGGGCCAAGGGCCGCGATTGGGTCACGCTGGAGGTGGCAGCCGTGGCCACAGCGCTGGCCACTCCCGAGGCTTCCATGCCTTTTTCGCGGACGACGGCAGCACGCTTGGTGAATACTTCAACTGCAGGTTCTGGGAAAGGGGTCGGTCCTGGCCCCAGCAGGACCAACGTCGAGACGCGAGACGGGTGCTTTTCTGCGAAGAACATAGCAATCAACCCGCCGAGGGACCAGCCCACAAGAGTAGCCGATCTGATCGATTTGGCGGCGAAAAGCAGGTCAAGATCTCTCGCGAAAGTTTGCAAGGTAGCGGTGGAGGAGGCTCGGGTGGGCGTTGCGCCGTGTCCCTCGAGGTCGTAGAGAATGACACGATAGTCCTTTTCGAGCCCAGCAGCTTGAATAAGCGGTGCATAGTACTCCAGGTTGGCACCAAGGCCGTGGATGAAAACGATCGTTTCTGCATCCGGGCTCTGGGATCCCAATTCTCGGACATTGATGTAATGATCAGGTCCGACTTTGGTTAACCCAACACCGCCCCAAGTCCGATCAAGGTTGTAAGTTGGGATGCTCGATGGCTTTTGGAGGACACGGTCGATAGTAGGGTTCTTGCTACCAGGATCCGCAATGCGATTAGAAAGCTTTCCAAGGCCAGTAACGCTCACCTCGACTGGAGAAATTCGTATTAGCTTTGACCACCAAGAACACACTTTCCGGGAACTCGAAAGATCGGACTTACCCAGGTCGCCTGGCTTAAGGAACTTCGGCGGATGGTGGCCAACTCCAACGCCGTGTGGAGTGCCTGTTGCGATTACGTCGCCCGGCTGTAGTGTGATGCCACTGGATACCGTCTCAATCAGCTTGGGAATGGAGAAAATCAGGTCCGCTGTGGTGCCATCTTGACGCTTTTCACCATTGACATGGGTTTGCACTCGAATTTCTCCTGGTAACGCTGCAGCTGGAACAGCAACCGGTCCCTGACAGAATAATTAGCAACTAAAAGCACATGGGCGAGATAAGAAACCAAACACACCATAGGACAGAAGGTGTCTGGTGATTTCCCCATGAAATATTGCCGATGGTCTCGCTGTCTCTCACGGGCGGAGAGATCTGGATCAAATTAGTTGGCTTCTCTCAACTCGTCCGACAAACTTACCATTTATGATCGTATAGCCCCAGACATAATCCATAGCATCTTTCTCCTTGATAGAGAAGCCTGCTTTGCCGATGATGACTCCCAGTTCACCTTCGTAGTCCATTGTTTCAGTAAATCCAGGGTGGGGATAGATGTCCGTTCCACTAGCAGTGATGCTAGTACTGCGCTTAGTGAAGACGGTTGGGACTTTGGGGCCTGTATACTATTAGCATCCTCCGCACATGACTCCTTCATAGAGACAGTACTGCTTACTGTCAGTTACTTTGTTACCAGCAGCAGCATAGCCACTTTCCTGGTATTCTTTGATGTGCTTGCGGTAGTTCTCGCCGATACAGAGAACATCTCGATCTGCGAGAGGCGGCAACAACTTCACTGAGCTCAGCGGGAATGGAGGTTCCGCAGCGCGGACAACGCCTCCGTCGCCCAGTTCAATAGCCTGGCTCAGACTGGCAAGGGGTGAGCCGGAAGCCATAGTCAGCGGCTGGATTGTGGAGTCCCCAAGGTCGAGATGGCCAATGCGAGACCGTCCCAAGTCGTCTTCAAATACTACGAAGTTGAAGTAGCTCTTCTCCTCTTGCAATGATGGAGGAACTGTAGCCATACTAAGGAACTCCGCCGGCTGAGCTTTGTGGATACGGCCGTTGATCATGATCACGTCCAGCTTGGAATGGTCTTGAAGCACCGCAATATCTTTCAGAGGATCACCATCGACCAGAATGCAGTCGGCGTAATACCCGGGAAGGATCTTGCCCAGCTCGTCATCCTGCATAAACAGCTTGGCTATTCCAGCGGTTGCAGCGACAATGGATTCCATCGGCGTAAAGTCCAATAGCTTCACAAAGTGCTCAAGATCCCGAGCGTATGTCCCATGAGGACACCAGGCAAAGCCATAGTCGCCTCCCGGAAGGACAGTAATACCCCTCTTATGCATTTCCTTCAAGGCTTTGATGGCTGTCTCCAGCTCTTTCCGGTACCCGACTTGCTCAGCCTTCTCCATGGAATACCCAAAGGGTTCCGCCTCATAAACGGTGGCATAGAGCCAGTTGAGCGCAGGGGCAACGACAACCCGGTCTTTAACCTTTTCAAGCATCTGCATGCCTTCTTCATCGGTATATGAGGCATGGTAAATGACGTCGACGCCGTGTCTGGCACACTGGATAACCGAGTCTCGGGCCCGTGCATGGGAACAAACCCTAATCCCATTGCGATGGGCTTCATCCACACAAGCGGCGGTTTCCTCATCGGTGAAGAAGCATTCCTCAGCCGATACGGTTTCAGTGATCGCTTCGCCCGACATACTCAATTTGATTTGATCGACGCCGATCTTAGCATGATGCCTGATCACCTCTCGCATTTCCAACGGGCCCTCCGCAAAGGCAGTAATTCCGGCCGCAAGCTCACCCTCTCGCTTGGCAATCTCTCTGCCGTTTGCTAGAAGCCTCGGCCCGGGCAAGGTACCGCGATTGATAGCATCTCGCACGACACAGTCCAGGCGATCTTTGGCCGATGCGGCGCCATAGCACATGGTGTATCCGGAGTCCAGATAACAAAGCGCCGAGCGTGCTGTGATCAGAGTGTGCTCCTCTACGCCAATGTCACCCAGCAGCTCAAGAGCGATATTGTTCCAAGTCCAATGTGTATGAGCATCCCCGAGACCAGACATGAGAGTGCGTCCGCGACCTTGGATGACACGGACCTTCGGATCATGGCGAAGCGCTTCAACATCGGGGACTGACCCAACCGATACGATGCGCTCCCCATGGATCAGCACATCGCCACGATATGGGTCATTCCCAGTCGAGTCGAGAATAGTCACATCCAGGAAAAGTATCTTTGAGTTCGGTGAGGTACCAGTCATGCGATATGACTTGGGTTTAAGTTTGGGATCGAACCGGAGGCCATCGTGGGGATACGGACGTCGGCGCGTAGGAAGCGTTGAAGATGGTGTAGGATGGTCATGGAAACCATTGGTGAGGATTCCAGGAGCCATTGTAAACTGTGTTTCTCTCGTATAGTACAAAGCAATATGTTATTCAGGACATATAGATCCAGCGCAACCTAAGAAGAAAGGGCGTGGTCGCCTCGATTTAAATGTATACTCTTTAAACCACTTTGCAGTCATGGTTGAAAGAATCGTAGTACCCATCCCTTGCATTGTACCGCAGCATCCGTACTCCTCATTCACTGTTACCGGCGATATGAGAATTGTAAGATGGATATCGGAAAGAGTGGTAAAGTTGAAGGACTTTGCGGGTAATGCGGGAACTTGTCCCTCGTGACCCTCCAGACATCCCGGACATTCCAAACGACAATTAGGAACAGAAACGAATAACAATGAAGTACTATGTCGACTCTGCATGGCATTGCGTAAGGAGCTAGCGGATATCGCAACACAAAGAACTATCCGCTCCTGTACGTCATCCCTAAGAGCCTGATTGTCAGCGTCAGCACCTTACTTCCAATCATTCCTATAGAGTGCTGAGCCTTAACTAGCTCTTTCACAGGACTTGATGCTTCGTGTCTTACCTCCGTTCAGTAGCAGGTGATTGGACTGCATCGGAGACTAATTTCCATGTAAAGACGATGTTCCCCGTGGAACTGGCGCTGTAGGGAAAGGGTATGACGACCCCGGGGGTAAGAACCAGGATCGGCCCAAATGGAACAGAATGAAGAGCTGCTCAGCTGTGTGTCTGTATGGAACGCGATAAAGGGTAAACGATTCTGACGCTCCCAGAGAAGTGGGTCTCACAATAGACACGAGAGCAAAAAAGAGAAGGAAAGAAGGCTTTCGCATTTCAACGTCAGCGACAGGATTTGAACCTGTGCGGGCGAACCCAACAGATTTCTAGTCTGTCGCCTTAACCACTCGGCCACACTGACTTAGTTGAAAAAATGTTCATTAATTTTGCTATATGATTCGGAGTGAGCACGAGAGTGCTACAAACAATGCAAATTAATAAAAGAATCCATTCGTTGAGTCGCAGGCGTCAAAAGACTTTCTTGGATGTGGAGGAGAGTATTTCCTATCTTGAGGAGCATACATATTTCAAAGTACCGAGTAGCAGATTTGGTAAAAAGTAGTTGCATGGGTGGCTCCATTCCTGTGCCCCATCCTGCAATAGACAGCTACAATACAATGTAGATATGAGTTGTGTGGTCCAGCATAGTGCGGAACTGATTTAATAGTCTCCTAGATGTCCGCCAGAACTAGGAGGGAGAATGACTGTTCGGCAAGACCACAATCAGACAACGGCTATACTCCATACCGTACGCCTCCGCCGACGAGGGATCCACAAAAACAAAATATCTCGGGAAAGAAAAGAAGAAAAAGAAATGCTTCCGATGCGGGGAATCGAACCCCGAGCTGCTGTGTGAGAGACAGCGATGTTAGCCATTACACCACATCGGATGGTTGTTGAAAAGTTCGACTTATCTTGCTATATCAATCAAATTACTTCACAGCCACTTAAGTCACTTCCGGTTACTACGAGGACTGAATAACCACTTGCTATCGACGACCTTGTGGATATAAATAATATAGTTGGCCCATCTTACAAATATATTACGGACTGTTAACTATTTGCATAAATATTATCCGCTCATTAAAGCCTGAAGAAGGCTTTTCGACAGTCCCGCGAATATATAGTTTCATGGCAAGGATACATGCAAGAGATATATAACGACAAACCCTGCCACCAAGCAATTCCAATAACGAACTTTCGGCAGAAGATTGCTCTTTAAATCACAAAGCGGAATCCCTTTCGGAGTTGTCTTGCAGTGCCAATATCCACGCCCTCAACAATAGCTAGATGGCGCAATTTTTCCATCTCAGTCTCGGGCAATGGGGTGTTCTCATCTTCAAACCTTGCCAGCAACTTATTCTCGCGGGTGAGAAGGAATCGCAACCACAACGCAAGCCCTGCGGCAATAATTTGAAGGCCGGCGCTTATACCAAATGCCGTCCGGTAATACGGAGCTTCGTTGGTAGGATATGTGAACGGTGTCCAGATCGAAGCTGAATTTCCCAATCCATTGATGATCGCAATGGCCGCGGCCCTTTTAGCCGGTGGTCGAGGGATTGAGGTTGCGATCCAGGTGAACAGCGTACTGTTCATGACAAAAACGAAAATGACAAGGAAGAATGAGAAATATTTGGGACCAAATTCATCCACTGTCATAAATATTATGAAGCCGGCAACTGTCAGGGGAATCGGGTACATAAAAAACCTTATCTCATATAAATGTGTTAGTAGATAAGGCTTGTATACTGAGAGGGGAAGGCACTATACCAGAACCGTTTCTCCAACTTGTCAGATAAAGCCCCATGTAAGTAGCTCCAGAATGTCATAAATATATAGGGAGGAGCCACCAGCAGCAGAGAGATAATATGACTGTAACCCAGGGTAGCCGTCAGCGTAGGAAAAAAGTTTTGAAATCCGGCGGCACCGGTAATGGCCATGTAGGTAAAAGCCAGAATCCAGGTCTTGATATCAGTGACCGCCAGCTTGAGGCCCTTCAGCTGGGACATCACGCTCTCTTCATCGACGTCCACATCCGCTGCATCAAGAGCCATTCGACGGTTGGCCACGAGCCTTTCCTCTTCGGTTAGAAGACGCCATGTCTGAGGAAAGTCCGGCAACATGAACAACACAAGAATTCCAAAAGCCATCGTGATAGAGCCCTCAATCACATACAGCCACTGCCACGCCGTCAACCCTCGCTTTCCCGATAGCCGTTGAGGATGCCGGCGGCGATAAGGTTTCCAAATGCTCCTGATATCAAAGAACCAGAATAGAAGATTGCCATTCGCAGATTCAGTTCATCTTTTTTGTACCACTTGGATAGATAAAAGAGAACCCCAGCCATAAATGGTGCTTCGACAAGACCAAGCATAAAGCGACAAGCAACTATATCCCCAAAGTTGCTACCAAGCCCCAGCTGAGAACGAAGAAGCCGAGGTAGAGGGAAGGGCGGCCGAAATAGTTCAACAAGAGGTTCGAGGGAACTTGAACCAGGATGTAGTTGATATACATAACCGAAAGGCCAATTTGGTACTGGTCCCCTTCAAGACCGAGGTCGGCCTCGAGGCCTTGAAGTCTTGCTGAGGCATAATTATTTCTGTTGAGCCTCCCAGTCAATAACTACTATGTATCGGATCAGGCAAGAATGCCACCCCTACCTATCCATGAAGTTCATCAAATAGACCAGGATCACCAGTGGCAAGATATGAAAATCTATCCGACGAACTAGACGCTTCTCAATGGCTCGCTCCTCAGGGTTGAGGTCTTGAGGAATGATTGACTCTTCATGCCAGGTTTGAATGTCCTTGGAGAGCCGGGACGGAGCTTGACGATCTTCTTCATTCATATTGTTCCTGGGATAGTAGCTTTTTTCCACACTCGAACGAAGAAGGGATGTGTTTTAAGCGTCTCTTTATGCAGTCAAGCTTCTGCCCAGCCCGAAGCATGGACGCGTATGCTCCACCGCTGACGCAGTCACCCCATGGGGTAGTCCTGCTCCATGGAGACCCAGGGGCCTTCCAGGGGCCTTCCAGGGGTCACAGTACGCCATCTTCTAGATACTGACTGATATCTTCTCCAGTATTAGCTAGCGGAGAATGTCTGCGGAAAAGACGGAGGTTCCATTTATCCTGATGCATAACTCCGCTCACATTTCCGTGGAAAAAACGTTACCCGTACCCCGCCATCTGAAAATGGGATCCCCGCCGGATGTCTTCTGGATCTAAAGCAGCTATTTAACCCCTTGTCTTTACACCTTTACCTACCAGGAATTGCCCGTTTCGGTTGATTTGGGTGCAATGACGCCTGCTTTTGAAGATCTCCCATTGGATCCGGAAGGGCCACCAGGAAATGCTTGGGGCAGATTCGGAGACCAGGATGAACTGGGTACACTGAACCTGATCACGCCGGACACAATTGTCCGTGCAGCAAAGGAGATCCAGACTGGCGTACGCATATCGCTTGACTGGCTTCTAAGTATGCCATCACATCCGAGTTTCGGCAGAAAGGGCTTTCACCAGGAGATTGTGCATAGGAGCCCGAATTGCATCAACGACGACATCTTGACTTTCAATACACAGAGCTCTAGTCAGTGGGATGGGTTTCGGCACTACGGTGAGTAAGAATTGTTTCAATTCACTGTATTCAAACACTGATCTCTGGTCACAGCTCATCAGAAATCTCGTCGATTCTATAATAATGTAACCCAAGCAGAGATAGAGTCTTCTGATGTGATCGGTCTGCACAGTAAGTTATTCAACAGAAGCTCGCCTATCTGCCCGATATAACGAACTGACATTCGTAATCATCAGCTGTCGCGGAGACAGGAGGAATAACTGGACGCGGCGTGCTCCTTGACTACGCTCAGTGGGCGGCTGCCAAGAATCTCCAGGTCCAGTCTTTATCATCGACCCCAATCACGGTTGAAAGTCTCGAGGCTATGGCTGAAGATTTCCAAATCCAGATTCACCCAGGAGACATTCTACTCATTCGCAGTGGATTTACCGCCGCGTATAATGAGCTGAATGAGCAAGAAAGAATGGACCTGGCACAGCGACCGTCTCCAGATTTTATTGAGGTGGAAGCAACCGAGAAAATGCTACGATGGCTCTGGAAGTACCAGTTTGGAGCAGTGGCAGGGGATGCGCCCAGCTTCGAGCGGGCACCGATTCGCGGTCCTCAAGCTGATTCTCGGTACAACCTGCACGAATGGGTACTTGCCGGCTGGGGCTGTCCTATTGGAGAGTTGTTTGACCTCGAACGGCTGTCACAGCATTGTAAGGCAACCGGCAGATATACCTTTTTCCTCTCGAGCGTGCCACTCAAGGTACCTGGCGGCGTGGCCAGCCCTCCAAATGCAATTGCTGTATTCTAAAAGACCAGATCATCAAATGGGATTATGGCATGTAAAGTGCCCATTGTATGTATAAGGTGATTTAAATCAAGCCAGTCTATTGCCCAGTGACTACCTAGTATTGTTGTAACTCTAAAACAAGAACTTGCGCCCTAATGCAAGATTCACGCCTGCGGCCCTGGCCTTGAAAGCCTATCGGCAGCGAAATATTGAAGTGGGTCGATATGATTGAATGGGGAGGCATCAAAGCCGATATCCATGATGAAATCTAGGTCATCACCATTGACTATGTCTGCAAGCTCAAACTGACCAGAAGGGCCACTTAGCGTCCGCTGTGGAATTACCGATGAGGAAGACTTACCACATCAGGGACCGGACCTTCTTCAATGTTGTTCACTACGCCTTGTGTATCCTCCCATTCTTCCCGTGGCTCTAGCGTGGGTCGACAGAGCTTGGATTTTGTTGTTCCATGGTAATGGATGCATTTGCATCATTGGGTACAATAGTCGTTCTATCATTGGCAGCCGAAGTGCTTAGCCTGGTCCTAGATGATCGGAATGCCCGCTGCGCAATAGCCCTGGTATCCTTCACAAGCAGTACCAAAGGTTATGTCAATACCTGATGGTACAAAATGGTCTGGCCATGTTTCCGAGCCTGAGGGGAACTTACTTCAAGTAATTTCTGAGAATGTTTATTCATGCTGTTGTCAAGCTTTCGATGGCCCTCTATCGCCCGCTCCAAGACACTCTCAATGACGGCACGGTTTTCGATCTCCGGGTATAAGGTAAGATATACTGTCAAGATTGAGATTGCGCAGAAGGTAAAGTAAGACGTTGTCTTGGCAGATAGTCAGTCAGATGGTAAATGGAGAACAGAATCAACTAAAGCAAAGGGAGATGATATACCCAAAAGACCGAGTTGTATGTAACATCGTCTTTGATCTCTGCGGCAAAGAACGCCATTTGCAACGCGGCCTGTATGCATTTCTGTATCGGTGGCTCTGGGGTTAAGGCGGGCCGATCGTGAAAATTTGCTTGAAGAAACTCGTCCAACAAGTACCCTCGGTAAAGCTGCATGGACGTGAAGAAGAAAGCTGCACGAATAGTGCGTTGTTGCCTATGTGCGATTATTAATGAGCGTTTCAAAATACTAGATACCTTTAAATACCTCTTGAATATCCAGGGAACATCATAAAAGACTTCGCTTTCCTTCTGGTCTGATTGTTTTTCCGGGTTGAAGAATCCTGGGGTTTCATCTAACCACTGGCTGAGCTGTACTTCGATTTGGGAAACCGACTCATTTCGGGCGACCTTGTCATGTTTCTTAGAGCCATAAAGCTTCCTGAGTACTTGCGATGTGATCCTAGCAAGCCTGTGTATCGAGGCTAATGTAAGTCACTTTACTCTTACGTGATAACAGGGAGGTGCTGACTTTATGTGTGCAACGATTCCGGGGACGGTCTTAGCTTCATGAGGATCGTCTATTCCATTCGAGGATGACAGCGCAGGCTCTGGGTATGGTATCGTGATGTCGTCATCAGTTATCATCATTGGGCGCCCAAGAGCGGCAGAGAGATATCTTAATACTTCTATCAGCCTCATGTGCTTGAAAGCTTTTAGACAGGCCTTACCGGTCCATGATATACAATGACCAAAACACACCCCTGCGGGTGAACTCATCTAGACCAGTGGAAGCTGTAGCTTTGGCTTTATGAAAACCGACTATTTGACCAAGGCGGACAGCAGTCCCTACTGCTAGCCAAGCGCTGTTGAAAATATTGACTGCTAGGAGGAATTGGCACTGTATATCATTAAAAATTACTGACGAAGCCTCATAACAGATTGAGATACACTCACTTTAAGGCAGTGTGCTTGCATCACCCGAATCGATGGCGGAAACACGGATGTTGCCTTCTCTAGCCTTGATTGTGCGGCTTCGTAGAGCCGCGAACTTTGCGAGTGTTAGCACTGTTAGATAGAATAAGCCAAGAAGAGAACAGTACGCTTTGGTCTTATACTCGAATATGTCGCGGTTATGCAAAGAAGGGTACCAAATGCACCTGGATTCATCAATCAACCTCCATGATAGCCCAAACATGGGTTGACAATGGCTCACCCAACGGCGAGGACCAGTAAAATTACCGCCATACTGGCATCATCTTGCAAGAAACTTTCATCCTCGGAATAGAGCTTTCGGAGAAATTCCTTGCTCTGACTTTGGGGAATATAGCGATAAGTTGCACATGAGTGACTATGAAAACAATCAATGTACTCCTCTGCTAGTCGGCGGTCCAGGGGAATTAGAGAGGTGTTCAAAGGATATTCGCTGAGAACCTCTTCCGCCGGTCGGGACAGATTCCGTGGTAAGGATTGGCCCACAGATTTCAGGTGACTGTATACCCGACTGAGGAATGTGTGTGTACTCGCATCCCCTGTGCAGCCAGATGAGTAAGAGAGATGAGTGAGAGAAGGAACTCAGGGACAAGACGGAGCGTACCTTTATCGTCTTCCTCCGTCTGCTGTTGTCCCTCTGTCCCCTGCGGACGTGCGCCATTGGTGCGTACCGGCTGCTGTCTTTCTCTCGGAGACAGACTTCTCTCCTACTCAAGAAGAGTTATTGGCAAAGCCAAAATAGGTGGCAGTGGATGTCGTGCGCCATTGGGAAACTCACATGCCTTTTTCGCTTCTGAACACGATTATATGAGCTTTGATATGCACAGTCTATTCATTGGAGATTGACAGTCCTTAGCGCTCCCAGCCACAGCATCTAAGCGCATTTTCTTACGCACACGGAACGTACCGAGTCCCATAGATACGCAACGATAGCAAGGCTCCAGAGGGAATTAGCATCCACCACTAATAAGGCTGAGAAGACACCCGGTACCTCTAAACCGTCGCATTTACATTTCCTCCTCTTGCATTCATCACACGCACGAGTCACATACTTTTTGGGAGGCTTCTGTGCCCGGTTGGGGAGATTTCCGCTTCCTGGGGATTCCGGGCCACCTGTCATGTTTATAGGAAGTAGAATGAGTGGGGATATATCTTGGGATAATGTGACCAGGCAACGGAAAAGGCGGCGACTTGGTTGTTGAGAGTGGTCGCACCGGAAAAGGCGTTGATGTCTAGATAGTAGTCTACAGAGACGTGTCATGTGCGCGGAAACGCCCCCGCAGATGATGTCCTCCGGAGTCTCCACCAAATTCCGCGGAGAATTTATTCCGGCACTGGAGATAGTCGGCAAGTTTCCATTAATCGCCGAGGATGTCGTGCGAATACTACTAGTAGTAGTAGTAGTGCTGCTCAAGTGGGCTGCGTATATCAAAGTGCGGGGTCTCAGCCTGCATTTACCCCGGACTTTATAAAATTCTATGTACATCGAGTGGTCCTCCGACCTCGACACCCTCGTTCGACCATCCGATCTGCAGCTTGCAAGTCCAACAGCACTTGATTTGTCCATCTTCTTGAGAGTCTTGAGAGACAACTAGAAAGACCATCCTTCGCCATGGCGCCGTCAGTGGTTGAAAATGCCCCCATCCAACAGAAGAGCCCCTCCGCCACACCCGATAGCAAACGAGTAACCCCGCCTCAGCTACAAGTTCTTGGTAAGACCAAGGATGGCAGAGATCTGAAAATCAGAAGCTATCCCAAGTTTGACACGCTCGAGGAGGAGAGGCTATATCGCAAGCAACACTTGGCTGCAGCCTTCCGGGTCTTTGCAGACCGTGGCTTCGACGAGGGCGTCGCGGGGCACATTTCCGTTCGAGACCCTATTCTCACCGACCATTTCTGTGAGCCGTTATGATATATTGGAATCAGCAAACTCTTGGCATGGTTACTAACGATTATTCTAGGGATCAACCCCCTCTCGGCTCACTTCGCCCTGATCAAGGTGTCTGATCTGATACTGGTAGATGAAGATGGCCTAGTGGTTGAAGGCGACGAGCCCATCAATGCCCCAGCATTTGCTATTCACTCCGAGATCCACAAGGCTCGACCTGACGTCCATGCTGCCTGCCACGCCCACAGCGTTGCTGGCAAGGCATTTGCGGCTTTCGGCCGGGAGCTCGATATGATAACGCAGGACTCACTCCGTTTCTACAAGAGCCACGGTGTTTACCGCGACTTCAGAGGTGTCATTCTAGATCGAGAAGAGGGCCAGCGCATAGCGAAGGCTCTGGGCCAGGGCAAAGCTGCTATTCTTCAGAATCATGGCTTACTTACCGTAGGTCAGAGTGTTGATGAAGCAGCATTCTGGTTCATGAGTCTTGACAAGACATGCCATGCGCAGCTATTAGCAGATGCAGCCTCTGCAGCTGGTTACAAGAAAATTATCATCGATGACGATGAGGCTGCTTACGCAGCACTCCAGGTGGGTGGCCCCGAGAAGGGCTGGCTGGCATTTCAGCCCTATTATGACGAGCAGGTTGCCAAAACTAATGGTAACTTCCTTCTTTGATACGCTCTGATTCACGAACGGAACTATGGGGTACCAATATGTGCACAAACATGCAAACCCTTTGTAGATATATGTTGGCTTTCTTCCTTCTTTTGCGCTTATTGAGCATTAATATTGCGTTCTATCTATATTTATTGATGATTTACATATCCTTCCGGATTTTCTCCTTATTACCGTGAAACATTGTAGGTGCAGTGACTCTTGGCTTACGGTTTAGAGAAGAATCGCTCTAGAGCTGTGGCGACTAAATAATGGTTCGCAAGGCACAGCATACTACTACAATGCCCAGGAGACCATGCGTAGATATAGCAATTCCGCTGAAGCATATTCTGAATTTAATCTAGTGTTTACAGGCCTCGAGGCAGAGTATTTCCTTGAGTATATTGCCAAGTTATCGAGAGTGTCGGTGATAGTCAAGAACAAGTCGCTATCGCCACTGGTATCCGGTAATTTCTCCTTTTAGTTGGGTGACAACTTGGCCATTCATGTCCATACATAAATCTACCTTTACCGTTGCCGAATACCTCATTTTGATAGCCTAAATCCTCGTCCCTCAATCATTCCCGCAGTCCGTGGGCCCAAGAACCGTCCAATTTCCGGCTCAATTTCCGGTCCGCTCAGGATTCTCCGCGAAGCCACTGGAGAAACTTGGAGACAGTCTTCAACCTTGGGTGCCATGCCACCATGTAATGCCTCACAGGGATCTATTTATTCATCTTTCCTTCAATAGCCAGGAGCCAGTCGCTAAGTTGTTAAGGTAGATCTCCAATTCACTTTTCTATCCCGATTGTGCGCCTCATACACGATCTCACACTATGGCCAACCCATCAATTGCAAGCAACCGTACTCGGTCGATTCTACACGCCGCCAAGCAGGGCAAATATGCTGTTGGTGCGTACAACTGGTATGCATGCCATCTTCTGCAAGACAATAATGCTAGGTTGAAACACACGTAAGCTGATCCTTTCGAACTCTACACAGCTACAATTGTGACGGCGTGATGGCCGTTATTCGTGCTGCAGAGGCAAAAAGATCACCGGCTATTATTCAGCTTTTCCCCTGGACTTTGCACTTCCAAGGCCCCGAGTTTGTCCGTTACGTAGTCAACTCTGCCCATGCTGCTTCGGTCCCCATTGCAGTACATCTTGATCACTGCATCAAGCCCGAGGACGTGGAACTAGCCCTAACTCTTCCGTTCGATTCTATCATGATTGATGGTTCCACAATGGAAGAGGCGGAGAATGTCGCAATCTGTGCACGGAATATCAAACGGGCACACGGGCTCGGGATCTCCATTGAGGTCGAGATGGGGCGGATAGAGGGCGGGGAGGATGGCCTGCCCAACGTGGACTTAGGGACTGTCTTTACAAACCCCGAGGATGCTAGACAGTTTATGGAAGAGACTGGAGCTGACTTCCTTGCCCCAAGCTTCGGCAACATTCATGGCGGCTACGGACCTGGTGGTGCCGAAAAGTTGTGGGACACATCTCTGTAAGCCGGTCTCGCCAGTATTGTGGGTGGATTTGATCTGACCTTGACTTTTTATTATGCTAGTCTCCGCAAGATCTCGGAAAGTGTCGAACAGCCACTTGTGCTGCATGGAACGCACCCTGTTACGGATGAACTCTTCCTCAAGGCAATTGACTGCGGGGTTTCGAAGATCAACGTCAACCGAACAGTGCGCGATGATTATACGAAGTTTGTCGCTGAGAATGCCGGGAAATTGGAATTGACAGTGCTTAAGGTCCAGGCTGTCGATGTTTATGCCAAGTCTGTCCAGCGTGTCATGGATCTTTTCAGATCTTCTGGCAAAGCATAACTGATCCAAACCCGACATTCCGGCCATGGTATCCCTCCGTACAACACAAAAATCATGGAAATCCACATAGAATATATCTTGAGGCTCTAATTCGGGATCCTTATTCAACCTTCATTTCATTGCTATTCCTAAGCTATCTACGCTTTGGAGGCTCCCTTTGTGGGACCACCTAGCGGCCGGAAGAACCCATTTTCCGGGCCTACCGGCCGCCAGCCGGAATCCCCTAGCCAACAATATATTTAAATATCGCCATCAGCTAAGGCAAATATAATTATCATTAAAAAAATCGTCTTTTTATTTCTTTTCCTTTAGAACCTTTGAACTGTCAGTTAATCTTGGATCGCTGAAGTGTGATTCCAAGTGTTGACAGGCTTTCACCTTAACTAGGATTTTATTCTTTGTACGGGCTACGTTGTTGCATCTAGCAACATTTAGAAAGTTATATGCTTTAGCCAGGTTGATATTGTCCCTGAATCTCTTAAAATCCTATGAAATGCCAGCGGAGTTATAGTCTGCAGTAGCATTCAGCTGTCAACATTGTGACCACAGAGTGAAGAATGCATTTAGTCATGATGGGGACTAAATTATCATTTCCGCGGAATTTCCACCAAAAATTCCGAGAAATCATGGAATCCCGAGTTGGCGGAGAAGACGAACTTTTACCTGCCACAAGTCGTATGATTGTGACATATACATCTCTGTGGGTTTTCCTATAAGTCAAGTTTGCCTTGGCCCTTCATATGGGAAATGTCTCTATATAATGTCCCACCCGTCCGTTGACATACCTCAATATTGCTCTTGATCAAAACAGACATAATCAAGCCAGCCATGACAGATCACATTGGTACGTTCCCCGAACTCAAGGGCAAGGTTGCCCTTGTCACAGGCATTGGCCAAATGGGAGATCCCCAGATGTGGGGAAATGGCGCCGCAACAGCACGAGTCTTGAGTCGCAACGGTGCCAAAATCTTTGGTTGCGACCTACACCTCGAGCCTGCCTTGCACACCAAACAGCGTATTGAGGCCGAGGGCGGCGTGTGTGAGGTAACGACAGCAAATGTTACATCCTCTGAAAATGTGAAGCGCATGGTTGAGGAGTGCGTCGCAAAGTTCGGCCGCATCGATCTCCTGATCAACAATGTTGGCCGTTCAGAGCCGGGTGGTCCTGCCGAGATGACTGAGCAAGTCTGGTAAGTATATACCGCAAAGTTGAGACAAGAAGATAAAGATGGATCTAATGCTCTCTGCGCTATAGGGACGCCCAGACGGATATTAACCTCAAGTCGGTCTATCTTTGCTGCCACGAAGTCCTCCCGATCATGGAAAAGCAGGGCGGCGGTGCCATCGTTAATGTTGCCTCGATTGCCGGAATACGTTATATTGGCAAGCCCCAGGTTGCATACTCTGCCACCAAGTCCGCTGTTATCCAGTTCACGAAAGCTACCGCTGTAATCTACGCCAATTGCAACATCCGTCTCAACGTGGTTGTACCAGGGCTGATGCACACACCATTGGTCAGCTACCTTGCAGACAAGTATGCAGGCGGGGACTTGGAAGGGTTCATTGCGAAAAGAAACCAGGCTGTTCCGATGGGTCGCATGGGTGACTCATTCGATGTTGCCAACTGTGCTGCTTTTTTGCTCTCGGATTCTGCCCGCTACATTACCGGGCAAAAAATTGTTGTGGATGGCGGTATCACCTCTTCCACTGGTTAAGATTTTGTAATTTCACGTGGCATAGATCGTCCAAATAAAATTAACCTCATGAGAATATGTAGCTTAACATTGCAGTATCTAGCTCTAAGAAGCTCGTAGGTTCCCAACCCAGCAATCTGCATTGGTAATGCCCGATGGATCTCGGCGTGGCATTGCTCCTCTTGAAACGAATATCGAATATTACCAGGCAAGCCTTGAATATAAGGATAATCTACTCGTCAAAATCCACAGCTCCGAAAGCCTCATGGTGTTGTAAGTCAACTTGGCTTCTTTATCATGCCCGCTGGCACTATCTCAACCAACCCGTACCCGGAAATAGGGTGGCCATCCCGGGTGCCAGCCACGTTAATGTATCCTTCATACGTTGCTATAGTTCCTTCCTGGTCGCACAACTCTTGGTCATCGCGAACACTGGATAGTTGCAGCGTGGTTCCATCAACCAGAGCCACGACCCAGTCAAGAGCATAGCTAGCTGTAGAACAGGGTGAAGTCCACTGACGGCCTGACGCGGTGACCCCAGTGACAGCAAGTACCTGGTGTATTCCTGGCTTATCCCTGACCGTGGCGAACTGGAAGCGCTGTCCATCAAAGGTATCCCACGCCCAGATTGACATTGTTTGCTCGCCGAGGTGTACTTCAAACCACGTCCAGTTCGATTTTGCCGGCCCATCCGTCGGCCACATGAGTTGACGATCGTACCAAGTCAAAGAGCGAGCAGAATCAATAGTGAGGAACTTTCTATTGACAGAAAAATGACCATCGGTAATTCCAGCAGGCATTGACCATTGAAACGTAGTCTCATCGCCAAACAGAAATGTCCCAGTGCCTCCATTCAAGACGACAGGAGCAGATAACTGAAAGGTAAGGTTAAACTCAACACTCTCCGTGATACACCAAATACGCATCTTGTCTAGAGGATTGTCTGGATCCACAGACACAAATCCGAAATATTTCGTAGCCACGCCAGAGGGCGCACGCCGCGCGTTCGCCGGCCTACTGGATTCGTTGTATAACCAACTAACCTGTCGGTAATATTTTGTGTCATTGATGTCTAGGATAGAGGCACGCAGTAGCACTGCCGAGACATCCGGGTTCCGCGAAGAGACGTGGGCAATGACCAAGTAGTCATGGTCGTCTGATGCATGGATGAAGGATGATGACCACCACGAATTGGTTGCTGTCGGATTGACAGCTTGCGAAGCTCCGAGATCTTGAGTTAGTTGGATCGGCTTAGTCTGAGGAAGTAGAATAGTTAGCACCGTTGAGCGTTCAATATGACAACCATTCCTTACCAGGCGTTCGTATTGCAAGCCACCCTTTTCAGGCACAAAGCCGAAGACGCCTGCAATGAAGACCGCCAGAAAGGTCAGTACCACCATTATATCATGCATCATGGAAAGGGCGCGTAGTTCATTGGAGACGTTGGTTGTGACACGGTCCGGATGCTTAAAGGATACCTTATGCGGCGAAGGTAATCGGACGGCTTTCCTTAGGCTTATACTGAAGAACCTCATGCTTTTGATTATAGTATTACCCCTCGTCTGGTTTTAAATACTTGGGTCTGGATAATTTCACTGCCACTATTCACTGGATTATCCCGCAAGAAAAAGTGAAGTTTCCATCTGATATTCGATTCACCGCGGCCGTCGAGTTGAAAGGAACAGTCTCTGTCGGCACATATCAAGAACAATCCATGTTTCTTAAGTACTCTGTTGTAAAGGATTTCTTCGGAGTAATTAGGTATAGAGCCTCATACTAGTAGACATTCCTGTGCAACTTTGGTTGGGACGTAAGTCCGCAACGAATCAAATCCACCAAAACCTGGCTGGTGTTTGTCTTGGTATGTTTATATGTTTATAGAATAGGACAGGTATAAAGAAAAGCGTAGGTATAATATGAATGTAAATGGAAAGCCTGCTATTGCTTTTGCATCACGTCAATATACAACCATCGACAATGACTACTCTCTAGTGTTTCCCAAATTATATTTCCACAAACTACACTTAGAATCGTATCAAACCCTACGAGACACTTTCAAATCTAAAAAGTCACGCCGAGCATTCCTATAATGAGCAATTGCAAGTGGGCGGTTGACGTGAAATACACTTATGCATATTCACTAAGCCAAAATAAACCAGTTGATCGACACCAGGAACGCCAAGCCTGCACATAAAACCCTACAAACCTATCATACTGCACTGTTGACAAGAGTATACCCATTATTCTCCCAAAAAGGGCGCTCCTTTTGCTTGTTCGAGTCAAACCAGCCAAACGGATCACAGAGCGTCACCAGGAACGGGCGATGGTCCTTCCAACCGGGTCCCTTGAGCTCTGTCTCGCCGTCTTGGGCAAGGTAGATATTAGATCTCTCCGGGAGGTATCTTCTCGGGTGCCGCCAGTTCCACATGAGGGTGTTGATAAGCATGAGGCTCGCCTCGAAGACGTAGAAAAACCACTCGTGTCGCAGAATAGGACTGAGCTCCTTAAGCTCTCCTGATGAAGAGGCACGGACCTTTGAGGCGCCAAAGTGCTCGACAATACGGTAAATGCATCGTACGAAAATAAGGAACGTACTGATATATAGGGTGACGAGAGGAGCGGAGACGCGGCGAGTGCGGATTCCCGATCTGTTGCAGCGCCGCTGGAAGATTGCCGCTAAGGAACAGAACACTGTGATGACCAGAACTTGAGCTATCAGCGATATTTTCATGAGAATATGGCCGAGCTTGGTGGTAGATTCTGGCAGCTCTGGATTCGCAATGTAGGATACGCCTAGAGCGTTCAGGACCTCCACGACGGTGGAGAGCATGCCGAAGGTAGTCAGGACCCGACCGGGGTGGATTGGTGAGTGATAAGGAACGTAGTAAAGGATACGACCGAGAACGTGGTAATTTGCTAGCTCCAGGAGCGGTCTTCCCATGTATGTTAGCTTAAAGCCAATGCCTTTGGTGACATGAGGTGGTCTTACGGGGACATATAAATTAGACATGTGCTTGCAATGTAGGTATATAGATCTGGCTTGCTGAATGAATGGTGAAAGGCACCGTATTCACGCAAGGCAAACCCAATTGTAAACATCAAGCAGCACACGAGGTGCAGAATCATGAGCTTAAAACATTTGTAATGGCTATCATTAGACCGTTAGTGATTCCATGCCCACGGATGGAAGGCTTCCGAGGCTTTAGTCACTTACATGCACTGCCAGAAGTGTAGAGCCAGCGAGGCAGCAAATGCTAGCGCGAATATAATAGGCGCTATCTTGTTGGGTTCGTAGATGTAGATGCTATCCGCTAATGCGCTCTTAGTTACACAAGGTAATTTGCAAGAGGGTGCAAAATTGCTTACCAGCCATCGTCACAGAGTCTTCTAGCAACCGAGTCGAAGGAGTAGGGCCTGAGGAATAGGATTAACAGAGAGTGCAGGGGGACCCAAGAGAGTATTATATAGACATGATGCCCGACACTTAACGACTCACAGAGCCCATAAGAATAGCTCAGGCTGTGCGATAAGATTTTCCAAGGCCTTAATCGTATAGGGCTGAAGCGTCCTATCGTCTCTCCAGATTGGCACAGGAATCTCGTCCGAAGGGATACACTTCCTTTCGACCAATCAGACCATGAAGATCAGCGGTGGGCGCTAAACCAGAAAGGGATCCAGCGATGGCCAAGACAGCTTCAGCTGGAAGGAAATGGGAGGCTGTTTGGGCAGCACTGCCACAATCTGCCATCGTCGGGCTGACTGGCGGTACATACATCCAAATCAGGTTAGGGCACGAATTTATACGAGACTCGAGATATCCATCAGATTTCGGCTACAAGCACATCGTCCTCCCCTCCTCATCCTTCCAACATCCACAAATTTCCACTACCTCCACAATGAGCACATATAATATCCCCTCATCTGGTCCAGCTGTCTATGATTCTGCGCCTCCCCCCTATTCAGAACATGAGCACAACACGGGATCTACAGAGCAGGCTCCGCAATATGAAGCCCCCCATTTCAATAACTCAACCAGCGACTCAACAAGATTGCAAGCTGCAACTACCAAATTCCCTCCAGCCATGAATGGCTACATGCCGATGAAATTCACCCCAGAGTTGCATTTGGGACCATCGGCATCGGAGAAGTTGTACTTTATGTCGATAGATATTCAGCACCGTAAGAGCATACAGACGATGATCCTTCGTGATGGGCCGACCGATAAGGATCCGCCTCTGGCATCACTGCAGAGTGACCCATATCTCCGAGAAAAGCCAGTCTCGGTGACCTTTGCATCCCAAGGCGAGCTTCAAGAAAACTCTATCGTAGAACCATTAGAGGGTGTCAAGCCCTACAAACGCATGAGCCCGACATTCTCGATCGCGGTTGGCGGAAACGGCAAAGACGCCTCCTGTGAACAATTTCAGTGGCGCTCAAGCCACGGCAAAGAGATCAAGGAGCTTGCCGGCCACACATCCGGTTGGAAGCTGGTGCGACTGTCGGAAACAGTAGGCGAGACAGGTGGGAGTCGCTCCCAACGAGCGATGGGGTGTTCTAGTGATGGGAAGGAGATTGTGGCTGTCATCGCCCACAACGCATCGTTGAGTCTGTCGAAAGGGTTCAAGTTTGCTTTTGTGGGTAGCGGGCTTACCGGTGTCTTGGGAGAAAAATGGGAAATCATGACCCTTATCACTGCAGTGTATCTCTGGCTTATCGAGTTCCAGATTGCGACACACGTTATTCCGGTTGCATGAGCATTGCGCACTAGCCAGGGGAACGTTCGCCAGCAAGGGCTGGCTTGCTCTATCTATTGACCTCAGAATTCCTTTGGCTTTTCGATATCTCTACATCTCTCAGTAACTTCGACATGTCGTTGTTATAACACCTTTTCATTGGATATTGTAATTAAATTGTTGTTTAGAAATGAGGTCTGCAAATTAGCTGCATTAACCAACCTTGCGTATAGAATCATGCTACAATGCACACTTGTCTCGCTCGCACTATATCACTAATCATTGAAAGATCCGATTAGTCGGCGAAGGAAATGTCGTTTATCTGCTAGAATCCCTGCTATATTAACCAAAGGTTCAAAATGCAAATGAAACAGACGAAAGTAGGGTCAACAGATATCTGCTCGGGAGCTGACAGTTCCTCAGCCTTCGAACTGGTGTAGTCCTCTCTTCTGACTTTAGCTTACCAACAGACACTCCTTTGTCGGACCCATAAACCATTTGAGCATAGTAAACCTGTGTTGTCGAAATAAATATCGTGAAAGTTATGTTCGCCGCAGTACGTCAAGTTCCGGAACGGTGGAATCCGCCATCAATCAGTAAGCCTTTGACAGCAGGACAAAGATGTTTTTGTTCGACTTTGAGAAATACCATCTGCGGCAGCCTTAGATTAGGCAGAGCATGGGCCTCTGTGGAATTCTGTCGGAGATATAACAGCGATTTGACGTGGCTCTGCTGGAGGACCTTGACGAGCATGCAATCATGTCACTGGAAGTTTTGCGCGTTGAGCTGTCGAAAGTGAATGGTCTAAGCACTTATTAGGCCTATCCTTAACATAAATATTGATCACAAGAGACGCTGATAAGCAACTAGCCACATAGTGAATATTTTACCGACAACGAGGCTGTCATCGAACCACGGAAACCGAAGGTAAATCTACCGAGGTTACAAGTATTGGCAGCTTTACTGTATTCATCTGCGACATACTCGTATATGCCAAGGGGAGGTTAGTGGAGACTTTTACTGAATTGGACTCCACCTGTGCCGCATGAGCCAATCTTTCCATAACTATACTACCCATCAGCTGGCATTCTGGTTGAAGACCGCCCAATCCATATACCAGTCCTTCTCCTTCCACTGAGATGGACATCTACCTTGTTATGGCAACTGAACGGTCTATTGAAAGCTAATTGGACTCTAGTGCACCTTCTACCTTCACCATAATGTGTTTTTCAACCTTTGGTCAAACGTAATTGAATGTTTCACTGCCTTAACACTGCACTGACGGCCACCTGAGACTTCCTTGCACAACGGTACCTTGACACCAAAACCAACCTGACGCTCAGGTCTCTGGGAAAATTCATATCGACTAACCTAAGCAAGAAATGCGGCTTGAGTCTTAATCCAACCACACTGACTCCGTGAACACGAAGTGATTGACAAGATTGTGGGTCGCTTCCACTTTTTCATCCGTTGATACGAAAAGGCATTGCTTGGCCCCCCTCAGTTAGTGCACTAGTTCAGGAAAAAGATACCCCTAGGTTCCTGACTAGCCATACTATATATTCACTTGTGGAGAGGAGGACCGCGGGTGAGTATTTTGTCTGCTCACGGTAGGCCAAATTGATACGACGATCACCGGATACACATAATGATAGTCATAATAACCGAAGATCTCAGGGCTCGCGGAAAATTTCCCCGACAATGATGAAGATCTCTCGTAAATTTCGAATCCAAAAAATGGGGGTGGAAGCAGGATTCGATAGTAAATCAGCCAGCCACCCCGGGTATAAATCTGGCCTCCTTTCCATTCCCACTATCAACTCCAGGTCAAGCTCCATTCGAACTATCACCAACACTAAGTTATAACGCCATAGTCAACAATCATACATATCCTTCTTTCCATCCACCTCAGATCACGATGAAGACCAACTTCCTCCTCATCCTCGCCACCGTCGCCGCCGGTGTGCTCGCCCACCCCGAGGCCAATCTCGAGAACAACCTGGCCGCCCGTTCCGGCACCTGCCACAAGCCGAGCTCCTGCAGCAAGTTCTGGGCTGGTAAATGCGAGCAGTACTGCGCGCCTTACAAGTTCTCCCATATGACCGATGACGGTTGCCACACATTCGCCCAGAAGTGCTGCTGCGATACTACCAAAGCCTGAAACGGCAGATGGAGTCTGGTCTGAACAGCACAGCAGGATGGAGGGAATGTCGATGATACTGCCGACGACAATGCTATGTCTCAGAGGAGGATGGCTCAGGCTTTAGGGGAATACCTGTACTTGAGTGTATCTAGCTGTTCAAATTTATGACATGCATCCCAGATTTTCTTCAACACTCCTATCGGCGCAACCAAAGTTATTTAATACATGCCTCAGACATAATATGAGTGTTGAATACCCACCCGCGGTGGAGCCATCAAGTTGTCTTGTTAGAGTAAGGCCGATGTTGGGATCCCTGAGGCAGAACCCCAAAAAAACTATCCTCTATCTCAACATTTATATTGTAATTAACGTCTACTGTTCTTAGCATAAGAATTCTCCTCTTCCTACTCCGTACCGAGTATTTAAAACCCTTCCTCTCTTAATTACCACTTTGGAGAATAATTAATCCAGACCGAAATCCTGGAGGATGACTAAAACTGATTCAGGGTCAACAGCCTGCACCTCTTCTGGACTAGCGTGACATGACCTGTTTACCTTCAGTGTGAGAGCTGGAGCCATCCTTCTTTCAAAAAGAAGATGTTATGATGGCCATGCTTTTACATCGTACAGGTCTCAGAGTGTTACTCCACCGTATAAAGTCATCTCGAAAATCTCTCATAGCTCCTTTCCACTGTATGTCCATGAGAACCATAGCATTCATCCCTTCGAATTCCCCGCGCCGTTTCCCCAAATCCGGTTTCGTGAAGCTGGACTCCAAAGAGAAGGTAGAAGAAGAAGACGTTCCCCTTTATGATCGACGCAACTTTTATCCTGTGTACATTGGTGAAGTATTGGCATCTCGATACCAGGTGGTTTCAAAACTTGGATATGGCACATCTTCTACAGTCTGGCTTTGCCGTGATCTTCAGTAAGGCATTCCTAGACGATATTACATATTGCCTAGCTTAAAAATTGCAGAGGAAATGGTTTCTTCACAGTGAAAGTTTGTGTTCGTGGACAACATCCCGGGCGCGAATTAGCTATCTCGCAGCACTTAGAGAATACTGATAGCCACCCTGGGAAAAACCTAGTGCGTTTAGTTCTCGACTCATTTGAAATTACAGGCCCTTATGGAAAGCACCTTTGCTTGGTTTATCAACCACTTGGAAAGAGTTTTACTGAATTCCGAAATTTACTCCCCGGCAACAAATTTCCGAAAGATCTTGCTCAGAGAGGTATCCAATTTTTATTGATATCACTAGCTTTTATGCATGATAACTCGGTGGTTCATACTGGCATGTTTCTATCATATCCCGAGAAATTCAGATGCATGAGAAGCTTACAAAGCGGCAGATATCTCATCGAATAATATACTCCAAGGGATTATGGATAGCAAGATTCTCTCTCAGATTGAAGAAGATGAGATGATGCGACCAATCCCCAGGAAAGTATTGGAGGATCGTTATATATATCTCTCCCGCCCCGTACCTGTATGTGATAGTTTACCGGTTGTTTCTGACCTGGGCGAAGCTAGGATGGGGAAACATAAATATAAAGGCGACATCATGCCGGGAGTCTATCGGGCACCTGAAGTAATTCTGGATATGGACTGGGACTGTAAGGTCGATATTTGGTCTACCGGGACAACAGTGAGCTGTCTGAACTTTCTGATTCAATTAGAGTATAATGCTGATTGAGGAGTTAGATCTGGGATTTAGTGCAGGATAGCCACCTTTTCTTCGCGAAAAGGGAAGGCAAGCTCTATGATGAACAGCACCTAGCAGAAATGGTATCTCTTATGGGACCGCCACCCCCGGAGTTCCTTAGAAGAAGTAAGAGATCTGGTCAGTTTTGGGATGAGCAAGGTATGTCTTGTTCTAACATCCCCCTTTCCTTTTTACCTTGTTACATGTCGTTAAATCCTACCCCATCACAGGCAATTGGAAGGGGTCGATTCCAATACCGGAACAATCGTTGGAGATGAGAGAACAACAATTTTCTGGTATAGATCGAAAGCTCTTTCTGAATTTCCTACAGAGGATATTTCGTTGGTTACCTGAAGAGCGACCAACTGCGTTGGAGTTGGTATATGATGACTTCTTAATGCAGCCGATTATATCGGACGCTTAAAAGGAAACATATCTTTATTGAGAGCAGAAGTGATGTGAATGACTTCATTTTGTATAATCCCTCGTAGTGCGGACGCGCCATACTTATCAAACTTATACGTTGGATGCCGAAATTCTAGTCCATATCTCTCTACTTTTTGCTTTGTTTTACCTTGCACCTTTTCCTAATATTGACCCCAATGTGGCTTTTTCCTGTTTGCGCCCTACTCTGTTGACCGATAGAAGGTGTATGGCTCTGCAGGGCATTCTGAATCGTAGATTCAGAATTATCTGACCTTTTGGCCTAGTTGGGGTATGTTTGCCTAGATCGCACGCCCTCGCAGTAGGAGAAGTAAATAAAGAAGAATAGAGTATATACATAAGATAGAAGCTAAAGTTAAATGGTATTTTACATAGTACGATAGTATTTAAGTAGACCCTTTAAATGAAAGGACATCTAGAGAACTGGGATGAAAATTCCAATAGTCTTTTAACCACCTATCAGATATTATAAAACACCCACTAAAAGTACCTAACTACTGTATTATAGCTTAATGCTACTTGACGGGTGTAGAATAACTAGTAGTCGACTCACTTTCAGCGTCCATTCCATAGATCTTCATGTTCTACATAATTTATTAAAATAGAGTCTTTAGAACTTAAGAATATATATATATATATATATTTTAAAAAAAGTCTGGTTATGGAATTGGGCAATTAATCAAAACACCGAAGTCTCTTAGCACTAGCTACAGCTTCTCTAGACGTGCCGTTGCGGAGATATCCGATGTTTAAAAGTAGATAGACGCATCACTCAAGCGGGCTGGGACGCTCGGGCATGTGGAATGCTCGCTTGTGAAATATGTCCCAACTAACTAATTGGTTGTGAAATTCATAATTAGTAATGCCGGAACGGTAATTTAGGACGAACTAACGCACGGCCAAAGTGAAGGATCACCCCAAGATCTATACAACCGGGCAGGGCAGAGCGAAATCCCACCGTGACATTAGGTACAGGAAGTCAGTATCAACAGCCCAAGGACATCGATATATAGGTTTATGCCTCACAAGACTCTGCTATCTTGGTATTCTACCACTACTATATCACAAGTCCAGCCCTTATCCAGGCAGTAATGGTACATATACACAATTAGAATTGATGGCACTGAATTTGCCCAAAGGGGAAGTCGCACCGAGCCACTCAGCGTGGGCTTTTATGCACGGAGGAGGACGAGGAGGAGGTTGCTCCAACATCGGCAGTCGTGCCTAGCACACCATATTGGAGGCGCATATGCAAGGCAGAAGACCAGAGAATCCTTCGATATAGAATCCAAAGCTAGCCTCCAATCGCTGCCCAATTACGTTCACCTGCCCACTCACATTCCAGCAAAATCCTCTCTGACGATCACTGATCATCTTCGCCAAGAGACGTGCGAATACGCTCAGGCCCTCACCGTTCCATGGCGAATGGAGAGTTGGAAATTCCATAGTTCCAAGATGGGCTAGGCCTGAAGATATGAATTCCATTCGCTTCGGGTTTCAGATTTCAGCTCCAAACCAGCAGGTGGTACTCTCGAAGCACCGAAGTACGCCACCACAGGATATGTGGATCCCGGGCCGGCTCGCAGCCGGATCCTTCGCCCGTTGGCTTGTTCATTGCCGCTGACCTTCCGGATCCGAGCGCGCCTAGGTATAAAAGTCGGCGCTGTGGGCCTACCACCTCGTACTTTCTTGCAGGCAATCAATCACCCTGGCTCTCTCGCCTACGGCTACCTGTTGTGAGTAGCCGCCCGGGACCTAGCAGGGAGTGGTCGATGGACTCATCTGGACCCCGGACTAAGAATGGAACAGGGCAGCAGCTGCCGAAGTCAATCTAGACGATCATCGGGGAGGAAACTAGCGCCTAACTAAGACTGGTAATTGCCAGGGTCTGGAGCGACCCGCCAATCGTATTCGGTCCATCATTTTATGACACTTTTTATTGCAGAATCCAACCAGATGCAGCCATGGGGCCCTGTGATTTCCGGGGTCACATTCATGTCTTAAGAGGCTCTAGTATTACCGGTTCCACTGCAACTCCGCACGGGAATACGAGCTGGAGACGATTCGGTTGTTTAAGGTAGGATCGCTTCTTTTTTTGACTAACAATCATTACCCCCTTCGGCTAGTGCTCACGAAGTGCGTAAGCAGCTGTTGAACCGTCGCCACGCCTCGTAGGTCGTACGCAATAATGGAATACATGGGTTGTATGGCGTGCGGACCCTGGCTTCCTCGTTGGTCAGGGTCAATACTATAAAGATGCTGGAAAATCGGGCTGCGTCCATTGCGGTTTCCAATATTCTTAGTCCCAGATAGATACAAACTTTTACCTTTTTTTTCGTCTTTTTTCTTTTCTTCTTCTTCTTCTTCTTCTCCGGTCATACTTGTCGATCAGATGCTGGGAACAGACCACTCAGATCCATCAGGGCACATGTCGAAGCGACGCTTGGCCTGTGAGCGCTGCCGGGACCAGAAACTCAAATGTATTCGGAGAGACGAGAATAATCTCGAGCCTTGTGTAAGATGCCTACAAGCCCAGGCGGAGTGCATTGTCAGTCTGCGAAAGACGCCGGGCCGTCCAGCAGGGCGCAATAATCCACCAAGTCAGCACTGTTCCACCCGGGAGCCGCAAGAGTCTCGAACCAAGAGCTTGGACAGCGGTAGGACAATCGATTCTGGATTTGCCTCAGGAAATGGATCCATCCTACCGGAAGATCTCTTTGGGATCGCCGCCACCTCTTTGGATAGCGGCGGAAGTGACCCTGCTACGCTCTTCTCGCCCGTCTCCCCCCCGATGTATATCCAAGATTTTGCAGACTCCCGGTTCAAATACCCCGACCCAGCGACGGACTTCCCTTTTCTATGGGGCTCATCAAGCGACTCAAGTGCCTTGAGTCGGTGCTCATCGTTTCACTTGCTGGACCAAACCTACGACCCTGGATTCCAACTACCGCGACTGCAACAACAACTCTCCAAACAATTATTTCTGCTCCGGTCAGTATCATGGGACATTACAACGGTGATGAAGCTGGATTGCAGCCCGTGCAGTTGTCAAAGGCACCCAGGCGACGGAAGCCGAGAATTCAACCCGCTCTCCAGCACGTTCGAGGTCATCTCCGAGTTTGAGCATCTCCTCAGTATCGTAAGAAGTAGGCTGACCCACCAGGAGGGGAGCAGAACACCGGGGTTTGGCCAGGAAATGAACGTCTCCTATTCGTTAACTGCTATGTCTTGTTACCTGCAGCTCGTCCTGATATACGATTGCATCTTTTCCTACGTCCTCGACCAGGCATCCAACAACCCTGTGGTGAGAGATTTCATCCTGAATTCAACGCCAAATATTTCGCTGGGGGGATTCGTCCTCCCCTCCCCGAAGAATGTTTTTGGTCGATTATTCGTACAACTCATGCAGCTTAAAATACGACCCATTGAGTTTGCATTGGGGCTTCCTCTGGATTGCTGCGTCTCAGAGGAGCCAAATTGCGATAGTGTTTCCCGGAGACCAGGGCTTCTCGGCGGCAAACAGGGGGAGTCAATCTTGGCGGCACTGAAAGGATCCTGCTTGGAAGAAACGGACGATACAAAGACCTTGGGGGTTATAGAAGCATTGAAAGATAAAATGACGAGAATAGAATTATTTGAGTAGCAATCCGCATTTTCACGACCCGACTTGGCTCGCAACATGCACCCCTCTTCCCACCAACTAACTGTAAACATTTTTCGTCTGCGCAGTGTGAACAGGCGATATTGCAATAACATCTTAGATGATGCAACCCGGTAGATCAGCGCTGGAATCCAACGGAGGCCGGAATATCTAACCGTTAGTAAAACAACAGGCAATATATCTGTTGCTTTGATTGGCTTAAGGATTGACCTAGTAGTGTCGTGATTTTAGTAATTTCGTGGCAAGGCGCGGTCTTACCGTTATGACCATACAGTAGAAGAGAGGAATACTAAGCAACGACACTGGTATTCCGGGTAGGAGAGAGTAAATATAGATTGTAACAGTCTGTCTGGCTTTCTCTGGTCGTTATCCTTCCGGTATTGCCTTCAGGGTTATCTCGTGTCGCGGTTGGTGGTATATATAAATAAACATCAGGATAAGGCGGCACCATTCATGGCTCCTCTATCTAGCAATCTTGTCAGAGAAATACCTAAATGTATATATTAAAACAATTAAAATGTTTTCTCGGTTATTTTAATCTCCTAGATTCCATTTACATTTCTTTTTATTAAAAAAATTTAATTCATAGTTTATGCTAATCTACGGATGAATGCTTCCGTGATTCCATAGTACCCTGAACTTGGGGTTTCGGGATCCCCCGATCAACTCTGTTTGGTCGCCGAAAAAACCATTCCGTTTTTGTCTACTATCAAGATTGCGTTTCACAGGGCCATGGTTTGATGTATATAATTGCAAATCAAGTAGATTCAAAAGCTATGCTAACTAGAAACGAAGCATTTTTTGAGCGAAAAAAAAAAGAAAAGAAAAAGCACAGCACTGGATCCATTCATTTTACGGTAGAACATTTAAAACGAGGCGAGTAGTTCCTGAGCCATTCCTCCAGAAAGCGTTGTCTTTTCCTTTTGGATCGCATGGGGTAGCTCATACATCTCGTACTTCTTCAGGTACCAGTGTTTCGCGCTAGACTCGTCGCCGTCGCTGTCTTTGAACTCGGTGGAGTCCGAGGCCCGCAAGAAGTACGAGATGGAGTAGCGTTCCTCGTTTTGAATCCCGCCCAGGGGCAAGACGCGATGCAGTGCGGAGCGCAGGCGTTTGTTCGAAAGGAACCGCAGGGTGTCGCCGACGTTGACGATAGCATGGCCTGGTCGCGGTTCGACGTATTCCCAGGAGCCATCGTTGGGCGAGAAGACTTGGAGGCCCCACTGCGGCGCGTGAAGGATGGTGAGGGAACCGATGTCGGTGTGCATATTCTGGCCAACCTGGCTCGGGTCCTGAGCACCGTGAGGGTAGTGAAGGAAGTAAAGGGTGCTCTTGGAGCGGCAGTCGTCACGGTGGTAGGTCTCGAGGCGGGCGTCTCCTTTGAGGCCGAGCTCGTCGGAAATGCAGTCGAGCAAAAGCTTCGAGATGAAATGGCAAGCCGCAGTGAATTGGTCGAACAAGACCAGGTTGTCCTGTGCAATGGAAGGAAGCGCCCATCGGCCGTCCAGCTCGAATTTTCCAATCTAGTCTTGTTACGGATGGATCTGATCGTGTGGAAGAAAATAGTAGCATACCTTAAGGGCCTCGAAGCCATCTTTGAGCGATTCAACGGCTCCCGACTGGTTACCAACGGCCTTGAAACTGGTTTCCAAGTTTCTTTAGTTTGTTGTCCGGTCAAGATCACTTGGACGGTCGTGAAACTCACCCATGAGAGAGAGATACGGTGGGGGTCTTCAACTTCACATCTGCTGGCTGAGAAAACCATTCCTTGGTGAGCCTGTCGATGTCGTATAGGTCTTTCCAGAACTTCTCGGAGCCTTCGCTCTGGAGATCGAGATAGAAGAAACCGTCTTTCTCACAAGCCTTGAGAAGCTTCTTCAGCTCCGCCTCGTCCTTATCGAAAAGGTTGGCGAACTGGATGGTGGAGAGGTCCGCAGTGCGGACATCCTTATATTCAGCTGGACGGCTAACTGTCATTTTGAAGGGAGATAGAGAGCAACAAAAGTTTGAGATCGGAGATTCTGATACTATGAGTTCTTCTAATACTTGGAATGCTTGAGAATTGTTCTTCTTTACCGAACAGGAGCGCCCTTATATCCTTTGCCATGTTGATGACCTTAGCTGCCAAAAAGTCTAGATTCTCGATTCTCATACGATGATCTACATCACCCCACTAGGAGGAATATACCTGGGAACTTTTTGCCCGGTTTCTGGCCGACCGAGGCTGGGTTTCTTCAGCTGAGCACTTTTTCAGCTAGGCGACCTCCGGACCTTGTAGCCAAGGAATTCTTGTCATCGGGGAGACGCTCGTGACCGGAGATTTTGCTTCCGTAAGGAAGACGCAATCGGTGTCGGATGAAAGGATAGCCACAGGAATAGAAGGAGTTCCGATTTGTTTCATCTAGGCCGCTCTGTCACTGCGGAATACTACGTTCATTTGAGGTATCCCCGAACCTCGGAAGCCACGTACGATCAACTTCGTCGACTTGTGGTTTGACTCATTTCTAGTGGTTTACCTTCACTTGTAACTCGGAGGTTATTTTCTGTGTTGAATGGATCACCTAGTTTGAGGGCTTAAAGTCGGAGTCGATCTAGTCTAACGCCAGGGTGGACGTAATTGGCATCGGCAATCCTGAAAGGACATTTTACCAATGAGGCCATGTAGGAATTGAAGTCTTGCGTATGCTCAATGGGCCATAGAATGGGGTTCGGCGTACTGTGTGGATTTCGAATCCTACGCTACAGCGAATTAAAATTCTCTAGCTCAAGCTCTAATGCTCACATCCTACGATGGCTACGTGAGCTCAATCACACCGCCATCAAGTACGAGACTATAGTTGTGGACCTCTGTTGCAGACTGTTAACCTAGTTGTGGTTACTCCTTCTTGCTTGAATATCGATTACTGTGTAAAAGACAATGAAGGTTTATGACGCTGAATATAGAATCATCCCATGTTACGATCTGAAACGGATATACAAATGCTAGAGTGGCATGCGAATTGACCCAGATCCACTTAATGCTGGGCGCCCGGGCCTTCAACCATCGCGATCGAAACTCCCTTCATGCCATCAAACTCTCTGTAATCCTTCATCCCTAGGTTCCGGTTAAAAAGATGCATCTTGTCCGTCGTCAAAAGCATCACGCGTCGAAGATGCGGCCAGCTGCGCAGCTTCTCATTCAAGATTTCGAGTACCCAGCGCCCAAGGCCCGCTCCCCGATGCCCGTCCAGGATATAGACATCAGTCAGGTAAGCGAACGTGACGTTATCCGTAATGACTCGCACGAGCCCGATCTGCTTCAGAGCGGCGGAAGTCTTGTCTAGTAACGCGATGGTCTTAGCCACAAACGGGGGTGCTGATGTTTGAAGGAATCCACTTACTCGGAGACTGTTCGACGCCATTTGAAGTTGAAGAGGACTTCGCCCCATTGGATGTCTCTATCGGTGTCTTTTGGTAGAGGCCAAAACAGAGGGAACTGTGCAGCGCCTCCTGAAGGGCCGCGGCTGGCAGATCCCCAGCCCACCATACCATCTCAGAGCCTAGAGCGGCATTGACGGCATCGACCTGGAGCAGGTCAGGATCGGTCGAGACCAGATAATCTCCGCGATGCCAATTCTCTGGTGCCATTATGGTAGAAGATGGCTGCCGATTTCGTGGAGAGCAATCCTTCGGTCACTGTAGGGACCATGCCCGGGAGGGTGATCAATCGCTATTTGACAAGTCCATGAATGATGTTCACGAGAGCGAACATGAGGGGCATGGCTGAAGGAGCAAACCAAGACCCATTGACCCCACCCCCTGCGTTGAAATGTTACCAGCAGGTCTGGCCCAAGTGGGTACCATAAGCGTGCATCGGAACAATGATGCAGAAACGATCGGCATGGCATGCAATTATGGATGATGAAATGATCGCCGCTAATTAATTTCAGAGATTTATCCTCCGAAAGTGGAGTTAAATCTCTCCGAGAACCGTTATTGATTCGCCCGGTCTATTTCTCACTTCAACAAATGGAATGGCTGCGATGCAGCACTCTCATGCTAAAAAAACTATCGTAGATTTCACTCGGAATAATGACAGGACAAATACAAGTTGCGTTTTGGTGCTTAATGGCTCCGTTGTTTGAAAACTGCACGTTTGCATCAAATTTCTTCCCGCCTGTCAAGATGCCGGGGTGGGTTCGTAAAGAGTGATGGTGTACCATATGGTGTATACATATAAAAACTTCTCTAGTACTTCTTTACCTTTGCGCTGTTAATATACCAATATAAAAATATAATCGTGAGATTGCTCCGGGTTTTAATCCGACTCATCGCATACGCCCAAACACATCCGCTCCACAAAAGTTTCCTCTTTAGGCGTTATCCGTACAAGATGACAGCCCACAATAGCACCGAACTTGGTTCATCTAGAGAAAGGCAATTGGCAGAAGTAAGTATGCATGTTCAGCATCCAAGGCAAGCATCTAATAGGTAAAACAATAGCTTGTGCAACTCGTTCAGAGTATCACATCTCCAAAACTCCATATTCCCGAAGGCGCGTCAGAACCTAGCCCTGTGAAAGGACAGGACCTAAGAAAGTTGCCTGACGAGTTGGAACAACTTCTCCGCAAATGTTCAGACGAAGGACTTGGTCCAGAAGGATTCAGCAATGCAGTCTCGTTGCTTAGCGAGAATTCAGTGAATAATGCGTCGCCTGGCTTCCTGGGGAAATTGGTCTCTGCGCCATCCCCGCCAGGAACGGCCGCTGATCTGTTTTTGTCGATTTTCAACAACAATGGCCATGTGTGGCGTGCGTCACCGGCTCTCACGGCGGTTGAGAAACATGTTAGCAAAGAGCTGGCCAAGCTGTTCGGTCTGGAAGGTCCACACGCTGGAGGCGTTACGGTGCCTGGGGGAGCTGCAGGCAACATGCTCGCCCTGCTCGTGGCTCGCAACATCGTGTCACCGGAGTCTAAGCAGCAGGGTGTCGCGCCTGGGAAATATGCGATCTTCGTCTCAGACGCAGCTCATTATTCAGTGTCTAATGCGGCACAGATCGTGGGGCTGGGCAGCGACTCGGTTATCAGCGTGCCGGCATTGGACGATGGCACAATGGACGTCGAGGCTCTCGCAGCCGCAGTAGACGATGCCATTCAGAACGGTAAAAAGCCGCTGTTCATCAATGCCACCGCGGGAAATACGGTGAATGGTGCCTTTGATTCGATCGACAAGATCGGAGAGATCGCACGCAAGGCGAACGCGTGGTTTCATGTTGATGCCTGCTGGGGAGGGGCGGTTGCATTTTCTGATAACCTGAGACATCTGATCAAGGGAAGTGAACTGGCGGATAGTATTGCCTTCAACCCCCACAAGATGCTGGGTGTGCCTCTTGTTTGTGCCTTCCTGCTGACCAACGATCTGCGGACTTTCTGGCTGGCCAACAAACTCAACGCGGGATACTTGTTCCATGACAGAACGACTGGGGAATCTGAACTATCCGACAATGGAGTAAATGGAAACAACAACGAATATGATTGGAGAAACTCCAAGCTCGTGGAAGAAGCTCCCGATGTGGCTGATATCCGGGATTTAGCTTCATTGACGGTACAGTGCTCTCGGCGGTCCGACGCAACAAAGCTGCTCCTACACTGGATCTACTATGGAACTAGAGGCATTGCCCGCGAAGTTGAGCAGGCTGTCGACAGTGCACAGTACCTGGCTACTCTCGTCAAGGCCCATCCGCGACTAGAGTTGATCGGAGACATTGACAAAGTTTTCGCTCAAGTTTGTTTCTATTGGAGACCAAAGGGAGAGGAGGAGAATGGGGCATCGGCTACAGCTCTTACAGCCGTCGTCAACAGCCACAACACTCGTGTCTTGTATGAGCACCTCACGGAGCACGGGTGGAAGATCGACTACGCGCCGTATAATTCAACGGGAGAGTGTATTCGAATCGCCTGTAACCGGTTAACTACACGACGAGGAGTTGAAGCGTTGATTTCGGTATTGGTGCGACTGGGAGAATCATTAGGATTGTAAGATTATCTCAAGTAAGGACAGAGAACTACATCGATGTGACATTATGTCCTACATGGCTTCAAGGCTACTCACATCAAGCCGTGTCTGGTGTTTAGTCGTGTCCATCTAGTGCCTTACGGCATGCGGTCCGGGGCCACCACATTCAGACACCTTATTCCACCGCTCCCCTCAAACTGCCTAGATACTGCCGTGGATTGCCATGAAAAGATAGAGGGCTCCATTAAATAGGGACTCGGCCTTCCTCGTTCTTTCTCCCTAAATTATCATGGGTTAAACGACAAACAGGAGAGTGGTTCATTGTACGCTTGCTACAATTCATATTTGACTCATAATGCCTACTGGATGAAAAGCGCCTGGAAATGTCAATGCCACGTAGTTCCACTTGAAAGTCCATGTATACTGAGTGGGCCACGGCGGAAACTGATTGCCAGACCAATGCAACGCATCCGCGGGCTGCGGGTGTCTAATAATGTTGAATAATACTAGTACTAATAAGCCCTTCTTTTCAAAGGGCCGAAAATATGCCTGTGGTTCCGGAGGATAAATGCCGGAGGATTAATACCTCTCACCAGGAACTCCGAAACTGTGCGAGCCAACCAAGACCGGGCGATTTAAAGATTATATGCAGCAAGGGATGTGTTTCAGCAATAATAAGTGACTGTTTATTTTGGGCACAGGTCCCAACTTAGGAGGACTAATTCATTCTCTGCTACTTGTTAATCCTATCACGCATCAGACATCCACAAGGGAAGTTGGCGATGTCACCCAGACACGGGGAAGACGATTCCACTGGGGTCAGCTCCTCAAGCTGTGAAGAACACTGGACTTTATCACTAGACGCTGAAAAAGTGAATAGAGGAGAACCCCCGAATTCCATTGCTACGACTCCTACTGTAAACGGTCCTGCCAGTAACAGCGATGGGGAGGAGCTCGGTCCACCGCCGGACGGAGGCTGGAAGGCATGGCTAAGCGGTGCGTGGCTGCTTTTCTCTAGGTATCCTACAGAATGCTGCTTGGCTAATCGTGCGCGTTATAGCACTTTGTGGCCATTTTCTCTTCATGAATACGTGGGGTTTCATTAACAGCTTTGGTGTCTTTCAGACGTATTACACTACACTTCTGGACAAGCCGCCTTCGGATATCTCATGGATCGGCTCGATTCAAGTCTTTCTGAGCTTTTTCGTTGGCGCCTTCATCGGCCGCTTCACAGATGCCGGTTTTTTACGTCACATTTTGGTCTGTGGCACGGTCATGGTCACGCTCGGTATCTTCACTGCCTCGGTTTCTACGCAATATTGGCAGCTGGTTCTTTCGCAAGGGATTTGTTGCGGCCTCGGCAGTGGTTGCCTGGTCACACCAGCGGTATCTGTAGTTTCTACATATTTTGAGAAGAAGCGATCGCTCGCCATCGGGTTCGCCACGTGTGGCTCAGTGACAGGTGGCCTCGTCTTTTCGGCCATGGCCAGACAGCTTATACCCTCGAGTGGGATTGGTTGGGCATTGCGAGGCATTGGTTTTGTGCAGGTGGCCACCTTACTCTTTGTCACTACCTTCATGAAGTCACGATTGCCACCGCGCAAGGCAGGCAGACTCGTGGAATGGGTTGCATTCAAAGAGCTGGAGTATACTTTCTTCACCGCTGGCATGTTCTTTGTACGTACCTGACCCCCAACAGCTGGTTTCGCTGATTGAAACTGGTTGACTGACGGAGTTTTCTCAGAACTTCTGGGCGGTGTTCTTCGGCTTCTACTACGTCGCTTCTTACAGCCGCGACATCATCATTCCCCACTTCTCTTACACCGACTCCCTCAACATCCTTCTGATCCTGAACGGCGTTGGTGTAGTAGGCCGCATGATACCGAACCATTTCGCCGACAGGGTGGGGCCGCTCAATATGATGATCCCGACGTGTGTGATTGCCGGCATTGCGTTGTTCTCGTGGATCGCCGTGCACACCCCCGGCCAACTCTACGCGTGGACAGTCGTGTACGGCATCGTTGCCGGTGGTATCTTGAGCCTGTTTCCGGCAGGGTTGTCGAGCCTGACTACCGACCTGTCGAAGCGCGGCGCACGCATCGGGATGAACTTTACAATCGTCAGTTTTGCAACGCTAACGGGGAACCCGATCGCCGGGGCAATTATTTCGGCTACAGGAGGCAGGTACCTTGGAGCCGAAATACTCATGGGTACTAGTTTTCTGCTTGGAGGGGCGTTTATCTTCGCGGCGAGGTTGACTCGACAGCGAAGGACGAAGAGAGGATGGTGGATTAAGATATAGACATAGATGGCCGCTGTTGACAAAAGTATATATAGATGGTTGGTCGGAAAGAACTTCCATCGATAACCGTTCGCATGGTCCGTTCTTAGTCCTATATACCTATCCCAGAAAAGAATTGATTGATTGTCGCTGTGGATTGTGGATTTCTTGGGCTCAGTGGACGTCGCACTCTGATGCTGCACTTCTCGCACTTATATATGCCAATGACTCTACTACTTGTAGTACATAAACAAGGCAGAGCATATGAGCGAAAGATGCGGGTTGAATATTCCCAGCATACTGTGATAGAGCCACTCCCTGCTTAGTTTGATTCTGCATTTAATAGCTGTAAGTCTATAACAGGTCCCTCGATTCACCTTCGTAGGTATTCACAGTTTCCAGCTCCCTCTCTCTATGTAAGTATAGTTCTAACTACTCTATATATCTATCACTGAACTGATTGATTGCTGAACCAGCAGTCATCTGTAAGTCCTTTTGCCCGAGTATTTAGGTGGCTCGATACTAAGAATTACACAAGTCGTCTACACAAATCCCAGTACCCCCCCTTGGAAGCGGTCATTGAATGAAAGTTGCGTTTCATTTACTATTTTAAAGAGAGTACTGCAAAGCCAGAGGAAAGTGGGGCAGGGAAAGAAAAATAATGATTGTATCGCAGCCATCTACAAGGGCAGATAGATATATAGGATAAACTGAGAACTAAAGAAACATGTTGCAGCAGCACTCTAAGCAATGAATTAGCGTGCTCATTCCTTGGAGGATTTGGGGTCAGCAATCATGGTTAAGGTAGATATACAAGCTTTCTTAGGTCATACATAACCAATATCCAATAAATCACCAGCCCCTTGTGAGGGTCTCACGAAAGCCAGCAACATGCCAGACACCTCCAGCCCCAACAATCCACAACTCTTTCTCTCCCAAGGCCGTATTGACCGCCACATAGTCCCCCCCACCCACGCGAATGGTCCCCAACGCCAGCCCGGTCTGAGGGTCAAGTACATCTACGCCCTCTCCCGCACCGGCCAACACCCAGCCACTTTTGGTGGTTCTGATGCCATCATAGACGAACGAGATAGGAACGCTGACGAGCCGATGGCCGCTCGTCCATGCGCCCGGGTACGACACATCATACGCTTCCAGAGTGCGGGGCCGGAAAGGGTATTCTCTGTGGCTCTTGTCCGGGGACACGGCGCCCGTGTGGGAAATAACGACGCTCGCCTTGCCGTCGCGGCCCTGGGAGAAAGCAATCCCGTTGGCCTGGTTCTCGGTAACGTGGAATGGCCTCGGACGGAGCGTGGTGCCGTTGACGAAATAGACGGTGGAGAGCACGCGGGGTGTGAAAGGTACGACTCCTCGGCCCTATACTTTCGGTTAGTGGCTATATGAGTAGCGGCTTGGTGCTGGTATACAGCGTCATTGTACTCACCCAGCCATAGTGGTCATCGGTGATCCAGAAATTGCCGTCGGAGTCGATGTCCAGATCGTTGAATCCCTGAAAGGGCAACCCGTAGTAGTTATTAAGCAGCGTAGTCACCTCCAGAGTGTCTGGATTAATTCTGTTCAGCGACGCAGTCTGATTCTGGCTCCCATCCGTCACGACATAATACGATCCATTGTGGAATGCGCATCCGTGGACGTTGTGAATGGGCGGGTTGGTAGAAATCTTGCGCAGCTCATTGGTCTCCGTATTCAGGAGGTACTGCCAATCGTGGGAGCCGTCATCGCCCCCCGGAGGGCCCCATTCGATGAAGAAGAGCTCCTTGGTCGACGGGTTATAGCACGGCGCCTCGTGCGTCTGGAACGGGAGGTCATGTAGCCGGCGAATGCTTGCCTCGGGGCCGATTAAATCGAAGAACCGCTCATCGTACGCGACGAAGTCTGTGGAGTTGAGATATTCCAAGCTGTTGGTTGGTGTTAATGATCTAGAAATTGGTCAGGAAATGGGGTTGGAGCATACGCTTTGGTTACTTCAGGATCGGATGTCTCGCTCTTGGTTTGTGCGACAAAGGCAGACCGGTTGAATTCACCTGCCATCACGGCGAACGAGGGGTTTTCGTAGGATAAATACGCCCATTGCGCAGTTGTATTCTGGAACTCCAGTGGCAATGGAGTCAGCAGAGCTGTCGCCAACGGGAGGAAGCCCACCAAGCTAATGGAGAGAAGCTTGGACGAACAAGATAACGAGCAGGCGATAGGACGCATTGTAGCGGCGGTAATTGTCAGTCTGGGGAGTTCGCCAATTGCGCGTGATGCAGATATCTATATCTATCTGTATCACTGTTTAGTTTCATTTCATGTTCCCTATTGCTTTCTGACCGTCGACGGCAATTATTGGCATTGTCCGACTTGGCATAGAGACCCGTATACGCTTGCCGACTTGGCAAGTGAGATTAGGTCGAACTGCTGACCAAAGAAACCGCTATGATACGAACAAGGCCCAAGCTACTGATAAATCGGACTCAAAGTGTGTGAGCAACATCGTTGGTTGGCATCAATCTACCATAGGGAAGTCCGCATTTCCTCTATTGAATCAGGCATGCCGTTCTTTATATCTTCTTCCAACACAGCAACTACCATCCATTTCGAATGTGCAGAGATACCAGCCCTAATTAATTCATTCCCAGGCGTTATTCAGCATCACATGGAGCGAACTCATGCTTGATCGCTGCATAATCCTCGCATTAGTGCTTTTTATTTCCATCGGAGTAATTACGTACGAGCAACGATCGACGCTTCCACTCGGAGCATATGGCCTCGGAGCCCCACTCGGAAGAGCAGCCATAGATTTCTCGAGTCCGGCACTCCACTCGGAACATTAAGTGCAGAGAAAGTTTGCGTATGCCTGAGATTATGTTGGGGAACGCACATTTGGGGTAGTCTCCAAAATCAGACCTTCCGTGTATATCGTCGTGGGTATCTAGCATCAAGACTAAATTACTATACGGGGCATGAACGGTATATCACACAGTGTTGGGTGGGTTAGATTGACCGTCCAAAATAGCGCTAAATTCCTCTGTAAGAATCTCAGTTACCACTGAGTCTTTGGCAAAAGTCAAAGGGTAAAGGAAAGAGAGAGAAAAAGAGACAGGCGATAGCCTTGCTATCTGTTAGGGAATTATCAGGGCTTTGCCAAGTACTGATGTTAAAGAAAATTTCAATATCCCAACTGGTGGTGCCAATTGAACATCGGGGTAAAAACATAGCTAACAATCCGATTTATTTTTACCACGAGAGTCGATTTAATCTACCGTAGCCAACTCTCCTCCCGATTCGTTCTACCGATGTTTCTATACAGATTTGTTTAGACTGCAATCTCTCGCCGCTTCAGTCCAACGTTAACAGCAATTGGTTTCCTGGCCAATCCCTCACACACTTCCATTTCATCCTTTCTCAAAACAAAATCATACCTCCTGGCCCACGTTGCGGTAATCAGTCTTAATTCCATCTCCGCAAGGTTGCGCCCGAGACATGCTCGTGGGCCGTAACTGAACGGGATGAAGGCCTTCTTCTGGCGTGGCGTCAGGTTCTCCCACCTTTCGGGCCTGAACTCATCCACGTCGGGCCCCAGACTTCCTTCAGATGGTGCAACGTGTAGATGGGAACACTCAAAACAGTGCCTGGAGGGTAGTAACGTCCGCGTATGGTGAGACCCGGGGTGCCTCGTGGGATTTCACGCGGGAGACCTAGACTGATGGAGGAATGGTGCCGCAGAGATTCATTGATGATGGCTCCTAGATATGGCAGCGTTTTTACCTGGTCAAAGGAGGGAATCACCGTATCAGCCGGAAGTGCGGAGTCGAGCTCTGCCTGTAGCTTCTTCAAAACGCCAGGTGTTCGAACGACATGGTACATCAGTGCGGCAAACGTGCTACTGGTGGTGTCCGTGCCCGCGATGAGTACGGTCAAAGATTCAGCGGTCAGCTCTCCTACCCCAAAGGGTTCGCCTCTGTCGTCACGCCCCTCTCGCACGCGCTCAAGCAAGTCCTTGTGGCGGTCTGCGCTGGGTGGGTTATTTAGGCGATCGAGAATGCGAGCGGTGCCGAGGCTGCGTAGGTTGTTCATTCCTGTGACGCCCGCGTGGAAGAAGGGGTCGGGGATCCATTTCAAGTAAGGCCGGAGCTCGGGGAGCGCTCCTACAGTCGCTGCGATTTCACTCCTGGTCGTGAGGCTCGTGATAACAGGGAGAGAGATGGTCTTCTCCTTGCTGAGGCGAATCGTTATATCTTCTGACGCAGCTTCGAGCACACCAAAGGGTGCACCGAATGCAAGGTCGCCGATGATGTCGAGGACCAAGTAACTGATCCCGTCAATATACGATCCATTCAGGATTATGATTATGGCGAGACTTACTTGAGCCACACGCGGCCCTCCACATTTGCGTAACCGTCAGACTGGGCTTCCTTCTCAGCGATATCATCCCACTTCTGGAGAAAGACCTTCAACCATGAATGAATGAACGGCTCAAAGTTTCTCATTGCCTGCGGCGCGAAGCTATGGGATACCACTTTTCTTTTTCGGGAATGCTCGGCGCGGTCCCTGGAAGTGAAGATGCTGCGAGTGGTGATGAGAGACGCGTCGTAATAGGACCTAGAGAGTCTTCAGCAATGCCAAGCATAGTTCACGCAATGGAGACTTGCTCACGATTTTAGAAGACCACTCCCATGACCGTATATGGTCTGAATGACCTCCTCGTCGGCAATGCTGATATGATTAGGCTGTATGCGGACAATAGGGCCATATCGCTTATGAGCTTCATCTACGTATTTGTAACGCTTGCCTGCTCGACAAGCAAGCAATAGCCAGAAGTTCGAAAGCTGACCTGCAAGGGGCCCGGGTATATCCCTCAAGTGATTAAGTGTCCAGAAATAAGGAACGAGGTAATACAGAACCGCAAAAGTAGGTCCAATAAGAGCGATCCATGGGGAAATGAGGAATTCAAGTGGCAGCGCCATACTGTGGTAGGGGAGGCTGTTGCTCAATACAACAGTAAGCGAACTTCAGAC